AAATTGTTTTCCCTCGAATAATACTTTCAAACGTCAAAACGGAAATTGACAGATTGATTTTTTTAGGTTGGTAGCAACGTAGACTTGTTCATAATATTGCTAGCATTGAAAATGTCAATTTTTATTCTACGTTTGTGTATCTAATTAGTCAAGAGTCCCGTCTCTTATTTTATATCAGGGGGTGGAAACTTAGAAGAAGGACGATTTGTATGGAAAGTGGCGCCATCTTTTAAATCTTGGTAAACATCATTTCATCTCTACTTTGTGTCATCGAGACATTCATGTGTCATCAAACCGCTACGTTTTTTCGTATTTCTATTTCTGTTCTTGTATTCTTAGTTAAATGTTGTTTCATTCATTTTGTTTTTAATTAAAATGTGTTTTCGTGAAAAATGACGCTGTACGCAACTGTGTTTTAGATGGACTGATTATGGTAAGTTACAATTCAATAAAAATTTTCATGTTTTTCCCATACGTCAGACTCATTTAAACATTTAAATATTTTCGTATTTTGGTGTAGTTTTTAGCACCACAGTGATTTATCCTTTCCGGTTATCATATTGAATGGTGCCCTACTTCTAATACATTTTACATATCAGTTCCTATACTTGATAGGAAATCACATTCTTTTTGTTTGTTGTAGGTGCACATATACACGGTTTCCCCCTTCCTGAGAGACGGTCAGTGATGTTCAGAAAATGTGTGCCAATCACTGGAATTATAGAGCAATAAACTGATGTGTCTGAAATTAGTAGGTGGGTCCATGTGTGTATATGTAAAAAATATATTTTTTTATTTGTAAAGAAAAATTTGCTTGCCTATGTTGTAAGAGAATATGTTCAGAGTGTTTAAACTCGCAAATAACTACAAATTGCCAGTTGCCAGCTTGCATATGACTGAAAATATTTTGGGGTTTGGTTTTAATTACAGGGTATGCATTCTTTTGTGACCGCGCTATACTATTTATTACCGTAAATGTAATTTTCAAATATATATATTAAAAATTAAAATATTGAGCTGATATCTTGAAAGTCATTGATGTATATGTACTTGCATAGATTTAAAATTAAGTTATATAGAAATATAATAAATAATGTACAAAAATATAAAAATATTTTGTTTTTATTTCCCCAATAATAATAGGATCATTTTAATAGAGGTATTTCATAGAAGGCTACTTGATATCGGCTCACTATATTAATAACTACATAAGTGGGTATATTATTTTTGAACATTGATTTAATGTCAATTTTAACTTTATTTATTAGATTCCCACTTATTAGTTATTATTATAGTGAGCTAAATAAGCGTGCCTACGTATATAGGTACCAAAAAAAAAAATAGTTCAGCGATTATACGCATGGAGCGCCACAATCGCCGTGGATCCACGACTTCGTGCGAGTTGCCCCTCTTTCTATAGTATACTTATTATACTCTTTGTTTTATATACTCTTTGCTTCTTGTATTTTCCTTGTACGTCAAAGCAATTTTTTTCAATTTCAACCTTCAATTTCCAAGAACAACATAATATTGAATATTCGATTATCTAAAAAAAGCGAAAACAAACTTTATTCAACCCTGGTTTAAAATGTATAAAATTTACATCGAAAACGAAAAAAAATCGTTGTTATCGTCGCTAAACAACATAATATCTTCCATTGCATTGCTTTCTGCTTTGTTTACGGTTTGATTTACAAGTGTGATCATGGAAGTAAACCCTTTGAATATATTTTTCGTGAAATCGGACAGTAAAGGTGATAGACTTTTGTTTAGATATCCATACAAGTTGGATAACAAAGATGAGAACACTCAGAAGAAATGTGGCCGTCACAATCCGTACGCAATTAACTGTACTGAAGATCTATTACAAAATCCTCAAACACAAACTTCTAATGTCTACAAAGGTTTGTATATTGATTACCTTAACTTTTTAAAGAATGGTTTAAAAGAGATGCCATAAACTTATATGTTTATTTACATTTAAGGTCAACTCAGCGGCTTCACAGATGAAATGTTATCAACATTGTTTGCAGTGAAAGCTGAACTATGTAACAGGAAGTTTGAACTGAAAGTGAATGATGTAAGATTTGTTGGCCATCCAACGCTACTGCCTTACAGAACCAACAAAGATGATACAGCCGCTATGATTCTTATAAACATTGTATTTGCTTTACAAGCATCTGCAAGTCACTCTATAGGTTAGTTCATTTATTACTAGCTGATACTTGTAACTTATTACATGTATAATAACAAAAGTTTTTTTACATAATATCTTTTTATTTTTAGTGAAATGCTATTATGATTTAAGTAAGAGATTAGGCAAAGCTTTGAGGCATGAAGAAAAAAGATGTTCCTATTTGACTGAAGAAATGAAAATTATGGTAAGTTTTTTTGGAATCTTGGTGGCCTGAGGACAATGACGTGCTGAGCTGTGCTCTTCCACATCCTGCTACATTTAAGATTGTGTTCTGCTCTGCAACTTATGCAATGATAAGACCTGCCAAGATATCAGAAAACATTTATAAGGCAGTATATTAGATTTAGTTAATTTCTTATAAATATTTAGTTAATTATCATTACTCTTTTACCTAATCTAGATAGATAAACCTAGAAGTAGTCACAGTTACATGTTTGTTCTTTCAGTTGGCAACACATGATGAAGTTTCAGCTTTGGAAAGTGAAGTTAATAGAGAAAATGATGAGGAAGAGGAAAATTTACGTCACTCTGTAAGTTCTGCGACATATAGTCATGAAAATTGTGGTGATGGTAATCCTAAATCAGCATTTCATTTGATATTACAAAGAAGTTCATTGGCAAGGTCCATGAAAGCTGTATTTGAAGGTCTAAGTTCCACAGGTATGATGTGATTTTACATTCTGCTTATAAAATAAAATTTGATAACCAGGAGTAGAGTTACAAAGTAACAAAAAAACCATAGAGAAATTGAGAACCTCCTCCTTTTCTAATTGGTTAATAATTATTTATTTTTTAACTATTTTGGCCTGAAGTCATATTCTATTTTTGTCTTTTTAATCTACTATCTCATTCTTTGCAACAATAAATTGAGCATTTTAAAGTCATTTTTTATATTAGAAAGAATTAAATGATCGCTTAAGCTAGTAAAGTTATTTTAGCTTATAAAAAAGTCATAGGACTGAATCTAAAGTATACAAATAAGATGCATTTTTTCCACAATCATATTCTTTACAGGCATTGTACAAGTTCGTATAAACAATTGGGTACTATTATCATTCTGTTTGCCACACAAAGCTCATCAAATACACAATAGAGGATTGATCATTGAACCAGAATGTATTGATAAATGTCTGCAGAAGCTAAGGCCTTATCATGGTATCTTACTTATGGTATGTATTCACATGTCTTTTTATACACTTCTTTAACAGCGGTAGAGCCCGCTATAACATCTTCGCACCACAACCACACAGAAGACAGGCGTGAAGTGGAAGCAATTTTGCGTTTCGTCTGATGAGTGTGTGTCCCGGAGGCCTAATTTAGTCCTCTTTCCCTTCCCATCCATTTTCTTATAAAGAAAGGATGGGAAGTGGAAGTTGACTTTCCGTATGAGAGGATGCATGTGAAGGGAAAATATTTTCTTTCTGTGCATCCTCTCCTCCGACGATTAAAGGTAGGCAACGCATATGCGATTGCGTATGTCTATGGGCAACGGCCACTTCGCTATTTCAGCGATTTCTCGTGGCTGCTCGCTCGTTTGCCACCTTATGATATAAAAAAACTGAGTGCAGTGTTTTAATAATTAAGTGCAATAACATTGTTTATGTCTAGTTTACGTAATGCCAGTGTTTTGTCTGACTGGTGCCGGTAAGTGTTAACATTATGCCAGTTGTACATGAGCTGTACTGGAATAATGCAAACCAAACATTTTGCTGAAAGAGAAAGAATTCAATATATTATTTACCCTTTTTATACTAAGTGACTAGTCATAACCTTAAATCAGTTGCATTGCACCAGTGGTATGATACCCTTTACACTCTCGTTGTTAGACATTTTGAGATACAGTAATTTTTTTGTATACACAAATTACAGCCATATTAGTATTGAATTAAAAAACAATTGCAGGTGGATCCAAATGAACTGTTAGCTTCAATTCCTCTTGATGGAAGCCCGGCTTTATTGAGACTGATCAAGTTGTATAGTCCATTGAAGAGCCTACAAACTCTCGCTATTGAAGCTGACTTATCTTTCACACAGGTGAGTTACTTTCATATTATAAAATGTGGCATGGAATGTGTAAACATCTTTTTAAATCGGAAAGAAAAAATAAGTATAGAAAAAAAACTAGCTAGTTGTAAAGAGATGACAAATAAAAAATAAATTTCAAATTACTAACTTATTGTTTCCAGGTGTCTCAACTAACTGGTCATCTGGTATATTGGGCTAAAGCGACAGTCATATATCCGTTGTGCGAAGGCAATGTGTATGTGGTTGCTCCTTGCGGTAATGTCAATATACATTCTCCGCTGTTAGACGAGTTTGCTAAAGAGTTCCCGGGCTTGTGCCTAGTGCAAGTATGATTCCTTATTACACATAGTTTTTTTTAATGGTTGTTTATGATTAATCAATGTTTATAATTGGACAGAATAATATAGTCCTGCAAATTTCTTGACATAAATGTGCCGGCCTTTTGACAATATGACATATATCAACAATATTGATGCCATTAGACTAATTTAAAAAAAAATGTTCTCCACAATGTAGGAAGGTGTTCTATATAGATCTGTGCCCTCCCATCGCCGCCCACTACACCAAAAATTGTGTTCTGCACAATGATAGTGTAGCAACATTATATCCGGGTGATATAGGCTACATTTATAACAAGTTTTTAATTCCCTGCGGACGAAGTTGCTAGTATAAATATATCAAAAACAAGAGTACATATAAATACATAAGCAGCTTATTTTGCATAACTATACCAGGTTGCATAAAGTGGTATCATATACATTGCAGATGCTTAGTGAGTTCTCTCTGCCTGCTCCGCTGTGGTTCAAGGCGCGGGGTGTGGGAGGTGCGGGCGGCGGTTGCGGGGGCGGGGCGCGGCTGGCTCGCGTCGTGGCCTGGCTATTGCGTCGCAAGCTGCTGCTGCAGCTCCATACATACGTACACTTCAATTCGCCCAATTGGAATGATGATCCCGGTAAGTTACTGGCTTTACGTGTCTAAATTGTATCATTCTTTACAATATGTTGTTGCTTATCCAGGCTTGAATTTTAGAAGAAAGTTTCTTCATAATATATGTGTACTACACATTTTTTGTATTATATAATTTTAGGAAAATTGTTACTTAACCTAAAAAAAATTGACTCTTTCAGATGGTCAAGAGTATTACTGCGAGAAGCATGACATTTACAATCAATCGTGTAACATTTCATTCTCTTCGCTAAATCAAATGCAACTGAATGTTCCGGAACCTGTGGAGCCCAGAGAAAGTGCTAACACATTCCCTGACTCCGATGAAGATTATCCGACCGAAAATAATCTGAACCAAACCGACTTCTCCCACACTAAACCGATAGTAATCGAATCAGAACACTCAAAACATGAAAAATTCCATACAAATGATTCCGCAAATCATTCGTTCGACGATGGAATGGATGTTGTCGATGGTTTCGTTCCGAAACCGAACGGCTTAAACGGTTTTGGTCACAACGATCAAAAGAAGCAACTAAACTCTGTAGATAGTGGTATATCTAATAATAACAGTGACAAATTACATATCAATGGATCTATGGATGTGGATGACCATAAAGAAGATAAAAAAGTGACTATCACGACACGACTATCAGATGCATCTTTGAAGGAGAAAGATGCATCAAATAATGTTGACTGTGATGAAAACATGATGGATTGTGATGTATCACCGAGGCAGAAGAATACTTTAACTAATGGCACAGATAAAAAGAATGGAGTTTCACTTAATTTAAAACTACAAAATGAAATGAGGTTAGTCAATATATGTTTATTATTTAAATGTTAAGTATTCCTGATTAGTTACATTACTCAGTTCTTTGTTGTTTACTATAGAACCTGTAATGAGAATAAACTGGTAAATTTTTGTCTTCGTTACCGTGATTAGCACTTTCAAAAGAATTCTTCATTTTTTGTCAGTTTAAAAAATTATTTTGCTATTAGCTGAAGCCCACAACTCCATTGCCGCGGAATTAAAAAAACTTAGTGGCCTATGTCTTTTTCCAGAGTATGTTTTACATACATACCAAATTTCATCAAGATCCGATGAGCCGTTCTGAAGATACCTTCTAACAAACATCCATCCATAAATCCAAACATTCGTATTTATAATATTAGTAAGATGTATGATGGCGTACTGTAGTTTCCAACCACCGACGGTATGTGGTGGGGTGGGCGAGTGTGAGGCTGGGGCCGGGTCTGGGGCGGTGCGGGCGGGGTGCGCGGGAGACGAGTCCCCGCTGCACGCGTTCACACCGGCAGAGCGCGCCGCCCTCGCAGCACTGCCCGCAGCCAGCAACCCTGATGACCTGCTGCTGCTGGCTACACTACATAAAAAAGGTGAGTGGAATACTCCATAACAATGCATCTATGATTACAAATGTCAATGATCAGCGGTCATTTCGTCTATTTCAAGTGGTCGCTTGCTCATATGCCAACTTATGATTTAAAAAGAAACCTCTAAATCAGAGACAAATTATAACATTATATATACTCTGTACATATTGATAAAATTGAAGTGTCTGTATGTAATATCGAATAAAAAAAAGATTTCGTACATGTGATGATAAAAATTTTGTCTGTCTGTTTGTCCGTCCAGAAGGCCGCCTTTGGTCTGGGTAATCTCCCGACTAAACTGATTTTCAACTTGTTTAAAAATAAAATACCTAATTTTTGGAATTGATTTAGTTCTTCTTTTTAATATTATTTAGATAATGGAGTTTTTTTATGGAAAGTTATTTAACCTTAATTATACTTATTACATTTTAAAGAATTAATCTATAATATCTAATTTCTTAGGTTATTTCCGTGGTGAAACACATTTAGAAGAGATAATGTTTATGGAGAATGTAACTCGGTCACAATTGATGCAACTTCTGGATAAGTTCAAAGGTGTTCTTATCACCTTCGAGACTGAGGACCCCGCTGTCGCTATGTTGTACCCATACCAGTAATATTATACTAATATTATTCTTTCATAGAATTAAACAAAAATTAAACATCAAAATAATCGTTTTTATTCTATATATTCTAAATGGTTTTATTTCTGTAATATTGTTAATTTTTGTGCATCATAAAATCCTTGAATGCTATATGTTAAAAGTAATTTATATAATTTCTAATTTAAATATTTACAATATGTAGTAATGCATAAAAATGTTACCGAAAAATTTTATTTTATATTATGTCTCTATCTAATTTTCACAATTTTTATTTATACCAAAGTTTTTACTAATTTCAAAAAATGTGTGAAAATAATCGCTATTTATCAGTATTATATGTATGTATTTATGTTTAAATATATTTTTTATTAAAAGTTTACTTCATTGAAATAGTAGGAAAAGATTTATTTCATCTTCATCAAAAAACTTAACATATATATTTTATTGATTTGATTTAGTAGTTGGGCCTGTTTCACAATGTCCATAAGTCCTGAATAAGTTACTTGAAACTAATTTTATTTGTTACTTATTTAGGACTTTATTTGGATTTTGCTAAATGAGTCCTTATGTAATATTGTTGCGGATATATATAGTATACTGTGATGTAAATAGAATAGAATGATAATTATATGTTACTGTGATTTTTAACCCGAAACACTTGTTTAAAATGTCATGGAATGATTGCACTTTACAGCTATGGATTCCATTACTCATAACAAAAATGGGTTGTCGAAATTTGTAAAATATATATATATAATATATATTTGTTTGTGTATAATTCATGCAGGTTTAATATGTGATTTTGTTTTTACAGTTCGCTAAGATAAAATAAATCCTTATTGACTATCTACTACATAGATTGCTCTAAAATACAGATTGGTCTGTATTCTTCTACATTTAGTTATTTAATCTCATTTGTACAATTCCTTAATGGATATAAAATTTTCCTACACACAATATGTTAAGAAATATATTTATTAATTTAATATTGAAAATTGTTTTATTAATTTTATCCACAATACATGATTCCCAATTATTATGATAAAGTTTTTACTTAATAATTACTAAGGTATCTAGTACTCACCTTGGAACTGATCAAGTTAAGACTGAAGCTTGATTTAGTATCAGAATTTCAATAAAATAATTTTAAAGAAAATCACGTTATTGTTTTTTTATTTCTCTATAAAATACTTCATAATTATTAATCATGAGAAGGGATCGGTCCATATTTTTTAAAAATGATACCTCTACGCCAACTTCTCGATACAATACTTGAATAGCAGCCCTTGAACCTTTTTTTAAAGTTCACTTTAACGAAAACTGATTCGATAATAAAAAAGGCTTGTGCAATAACAGTTTGTTTATACAACAGTTATAAATAACGAATACCGCAGGGAGAAATAACAGTTTGGTTATAACTAATAAATACAAGAGTACAGCTCTATGCTCTACTCTATTCGTCAAATCAAAACCAGCTGTCAGTGATCAAATGACAAATATTGTGTTGCGAGATGCGAAACAATTGAAATTGTTGTGGAATTTTTACTTTGTCTCAATTAGTTAAATTAAAAAATGAAGAATTTTCCAGTATTTGTGTTCCCTGTGTCATTGGAATTCTATTTAAATGCAAGACATACACACAAACAATTACTGACAGTGTACAATCCGTACGATTTTTCAGTAAATTTTAAAGGTAAATTGTAAACATACAATCGTATTTAGCCATATGGTTCTAGTGTATAATAGCGTGTTATTTTCAGTGTTATGTACTTCCCCGAATAAGTTCACTGTGATTGATCCAGAAGGAATTATAGCTCCACAAAGTTGTATAGATATAGTTGTTCGATACACGCAGCCTTCTCTCGCTCATTGTAATACAACTGAGAAATTCAGGATAACAATGTATGACAGAAATACTCAGCAGGTAAGTGTACTAGTTACTTTGAAACAATATTTTTTTACTGAATTGCATTTGTGAAATAAATTATTTTCTGCATTCCCCATGACTATTTTTATTAATATTATTAATATTTCTGATGTTTTATATATATTACAGGCTCTGGGTAAAAGAGACATTCCTACAAAATTAATCGAAGGTGAACCACTTAATACTACTCAAGAAAGTTTTGGAGACAATTTCCATCCAATAACCACTAAAACCCAAGTGATCAGGCCAACAGAGGAACATGGCAAGATGACTTGTAATCATCCTTCACATCACCGGTATGATGCCAGAGTTTTTGCTTGTTTATTTTTTTAATTTTCTCATTCATATTTTTTTTACTTTATACAGGGTGGCCATGAATGATGTGTAGAATAGAATACCACAGATTGTTTGGTCGAGAATATGACAAATGAACCATTGTACACATCATTCCCGGACACCCTGTATATTGTGTTAACTGATATTGGGTATTAGGATTAATTATTAAATTATATTGGGTATTAGGATTAATAAGAATTGGAATGTTCAAGAAACATTCTTCTATGTAAAAATGTTGTGAAACATTTTAAAATGCAGTTAAATTTGTAGATTTTGCACAAATAAAAAATGTTGTGCGGAAAGGTTTGTTGTGTTAAGTGCCATAATAAAGTGAGGGTAAGAGGATATCAAAACAAGATCTTGAAGGTGACATATGCAAATTCATACTGCAATGAATTTGATATAAAATATGCATTCTCACAATATTATTACTTTGAAATTGTCTCTTTATTTTGTTCTTACTCAACATAAACTAAACTCCTTCAATTGTTTAGGTCTCATTTGCCATCCATTAGATATGTAAATTTTGTGATAAGCACACTTTTATGATAACAAATTTTGTAATTTTCTCATGTAAATGTTATTATGAGTCAGCACCAAATATTTGCATTATCATTATAAATGTATTATTCCAAAATTGCTAGAGAATTAATGATAAACACATTGGCATCTCTTGTTTACTCCATTCAACCATAATTCATACACATTTTTTTTTGTTTAAATTGGTTTTGTGCACTGTTATCTAGATTGTCTTTAACTGTGTCCACATGTTCATATGTTTGCATGAAATCCTAAAAGAGGTTTTGTTTCACATCATCATCATAATCAGCCTAATTTCATCCACTGCTGGAGGGAGGCCTCCCCCATCGATTGCCACAATGCCCGGTCCTGTGTCCGCATTCGGTGTACTCCCGCTACCTTGTTTGACATTTTTTTTAAATAATAATTTTTCAAAATTAAACCTTGTTTTCAGAGAACAACAGCCTATAAATGTAGTTGCGGTTGCAGTGAGCATTTGTTGTATAGCTGCATTATTACTTCCCACACAGCCTGAGAATATAACTCCGTCACAACTGCCGGACTGGCTCCACATAGGTTCTAATCTCAAATTAGTATTCTCATTTGTATTGGGCTTGGTAAGTATGCTAGTTTTAAGACCGTAATTTATTTATTTTTCTTATTCCATCCCAAAGTATGAGTACAGGTCTGCAGTTAATGTTTAATCAATTTTGACATTTTGCCATATGAAATAAATGTTTAGGATTGATATCTTACTATAGTACTGACTTTTGCAATGTACATTATGTACACAATCATTGATTCCCATACAGAATTTATCCAAACTATATACTTAAAATAAAACATCACATGTTATATAGTACTCAAAGACAATTTTATGTATAAAACATAAACATTTGTACATTGACTATTTACTTTTTCCTCTATATATTTATCTCTCTTATAATAAATTATTCATGTTCTTAAGCAGCAATATCTGGTGATCTGTGTTATAAATATGTTCCATGTTTTTACAATACAATTTAACTTTGAATATAAATAATGTCACGCTCCAACTATTTTATACTATCAAGTTAATTATAAAATTATTTTATTTTAGTATGTAAAAGGTAATAAGGTTGTTATTTTTAAATCTCTAATTATACATGACAAATCAATCCATACAGTATTGTGTGGTTGTCTCACTTTTGCATTTTTTCTTTTTAATAATTTGTTTTACGTATCTGGTCATTAAGTGATTGTATTTCCTAAATTAAATTTAATTTTTTACTCTATAATTGTTTAGGGGTTTTTTTAAAGATTGCTTTGGTACTTTTGGAAATTGGTATAGGGTGCTAAATTGACCTTAGTTTTATTGGAAAAGGTGTGATATTTTTATAGTATTTGTTTTAAACAACATAATTTGTGCCTGTTTTTTAAGTTATAAAGGCCAAGAAACTTAACTGTAAATAACTTTTATATATGTAAAAGTAGTTTTATACAATGTGTATTGACAGCCTTATAAGCTTAAGCTTTTTTTTTTACAATGTTTTCCTTTTATTTGTATTTCCAATATAAATGTTTTGATTTGAATGACGATAATGACACATAATAATTAAAATGACTAAAGTTTGATTGGATTATGAATATTTCTTTTAATTCTCACTATAAAAAAGCTTAAAATGATAGACCTAACCTCTAAATTACTATATGAAATATTGGTCCATAATAATTTCGTTTTCCTTATGGATTTTTTTAAACGAAATAAACATAATGTAAACTGTTGGTAAATCATTATGACATTTAACTATAGAAATAGAAGAAATAAATGTTTCCACCTTTCTTATAGTATTAAATGTGATGCTATGTAGATTGTACATATTAGGTTAAAAAATGGATGTACATTTTTTTAAACCTGTATAATGGGACCATTTATTGTAAATTTCTGATCATACCAAATATATCCTTTATCGACAAAGTAAGCTTTTTCATTTCAACAATGCCCAGGATATATTAGTAAGACTTGTAAATACTTCCTACTATTAAATGCCAAAGTTTAAATGGATGATGATGGATGGATACTTTTTAGGAGGTATCTCCGGAAAAGCTCAAAGGATATTGATGAAATTTGTCACACATGTGGAACATAATCTGGAAGAACACATGGCTACTTATTCAAGTTTTTTTGATCCTCGCGGGCAATAGCTAATTCTTTATATACTTAGAAACAAACCTAGTAATATTGGTTCGTAAAGATAAGTCATGTATTAGAAAAATAGGTAAATATAACTTTAGAAACATATATAGCCTTGATAAATAGGTAATAGAGTATGCTTGAGAAATCATATTCAATGAAATTACTACTTTTTAACAATTAAAATCAGGTTACATTCTTTGTACTTTTCCTTAGAGTAAAAGGACCAGAAAATTATGAAAACATTTTTAAAAATTGGTAATAATTTATTTCATCAATTCCTTGGCAAAGTTTAACAAGATTTAAACTTTGAATATACTATACGTTCTAAACGCAAGGAACTATTTTATAAATAATTCTACAACAAATTTAAGCAGAACAAAATATAGGACGGTTCATACACTAGGTCTAAAACTAGTATTCAAGAAAATAATTAAATTATAATTAAAAAAAATCACTTAAACAGCACAATATTAATCATACATTCTACACTACAATATAATGTAAATGAAAACATAACATTTTCGATAAATACGAGAAGGCATATCACTTTATTGATATTTCTCAAATATTCCTGACTTTTCTAGTCAAATATTTATAATTTTTGTTCACATAAGGTGTTTTATTGTCACATTTTACACATACAGTGTCATATTTATTCCTGCATAGTATGAATTTATTACATCATTAGAAGTTTATCACCACTAAACTAGTCTTTTTATAATCTACCAGCATAAAATATTAATGTAATGATATTTCTTACGATATGTTATAAAGCCTTATTAAATTATCATTTTGGTAGTTATTATTAGAATACTTCAGGAACATATTAAGGCTTATATTTGGTTTATTTCTAACATTATAAATAGGATATTTTAACGGAAACAAATTGTTTATAAATCTACGGTATGTAAATGGCAACACTGGCAGGTATTTTTGTTAGGCATTTATGATATTATATTAACAAATCTATTTTATAATAAAAGATATGCTACAAGTCAACCATGATATGAGTAAATAATGGATGGAGTACAGTTGCCACTTCTGTATATTTTAAAGAGTTCAATCCATCATTGGATATTCCTTTTTTTGTAAAGATTTTCTGATTTTTAGTATACCTAAAATTATTTTATAATATAATAAATAATTTTATATAATTATGTAACTTTTAATCATATTTTATCTTTAAAAGGTAGGTTTTTGACGGCTAAATATCTGTATAAAATATATTGTCCCTGAGACACAGAGATAGCTTATGTTTTAAATGGAGATTTTAGACTCAGAAATCCACAGTTAGTAACATAAGAGTCAAAATATTTACTCACCAACTTCCCTGGTGTCCGTTTGGTATGTTGTAGTATTCACTAATTTGTGGCTCGAATTGACAAATCTTCAACATTAGTGATTCAATTCGAGAAAGAAAGTCATCATCACCTCTCACACCAAAATATTTATTGCTCATTCCATTTATATTTTTAAATTGCTTCGCCGTTATAGATGTAGCACCACCAATAAGGTTTAAATATGGCAAAATATATCTATAATGCAAAAAATTTCATTAAAATATTATAATAATGTATTACAGATTTTTCTAGGATGTATATGAAAGTTCATAGCAATTAAAGCTGTCTGTTGCAAATATATGCCGATGAATGTCATGATTTTATTTACAAGTTGTTGTTAATATATTTATTATTTTTGTATAAAACATGATTTATACTGAAAGGTTGTTCACCTAAATTTATTATAGCTGCCTGACATGTGCCTAGGATATTTAGTGCATGCGTAAATATTAGCAGGCTTTAATGGTAATAGGTCAACATCATGTAATATGAGACATGGGTATCCAGCATTCATGGCAGCTATAGCACCGATATTTATCAACTTAGCCCTGTTGAATGGTTGGGAATCCAGCTGCTCAACAATATATATGCGATAGTGGACATGTTGACGACGCAAGAACGAATGCATATACACCAAAAAACTTCGTAATTGTTCAGCTCTGTCCCTGTATTCATTGAATATGTTAAGATTATTTTTAACAATAATATCGCTAATATTAAAATGTAAATTTTAAATACCGATAAGGAACGATGATCGCAGAACTAAATAGCGCTTTGCATTCCGGAGGGGCATATTCTCCTCCTTCCTTTATCCTGTATCCTTCGTTCAAATCGCCGTCTATTACCGTAGCAGGTAATGTTGTTTCGTCATATATTATATCATGGTAATCACAGTCAACTATTGCGGTGCTGGTGTAATTTTCTGCGGTTTCTTCGTGCAGTGAACTAATAATATTTTGTTTCTCTATAATTTCATATGAACGTCGCGTTTTCATAGCAGGTTGAAGTAACAAAAGTAAAACTGCAGTAAAAAACACTAAATAAAAAATCTTCTTTTTTGATGCATAACGCATGACAAATTATAACTATTTTAATTGAAAACGACGTCTAAAAACTATCGTTATTGATCAGCTGATTATTCCCGAGCATAACATTTTGCCGCAGTAATTTGACAGTTATGACGTCACGTCACAACACTTCGCATCGTATCGAATAGTGCTGTCCCTGATCGTTAAATATTACAGTTGTTAGAACTAACTTTGGACAACTGCTTATATTGTCTTGTATTGTATATAAATAAAACGTTTTTCTTATTTTCATACAAGTACGGAAATATAAACTCAGTATAGTAAATGTTAATTAATCACGTTTTACTGAAAAACTGTGTTCCTACAACTAAAACGAACATTAGGGTCATTTATATTATAAAGGTACCCTACGAGAATAATTATTTGACAAAGACGTTGAACGACGTAAATATGACAAAAATGTGATAATGTACAAAGTGTAATTTATCCTGGTCTTATTTAATTTAAGCCTGGCGTGTAATTTGTAATAATATGAAAATGACATTGAAAGGCGAAAAAGAAACAAATAATGACAACGAAAATGACAAGGAAAATAAGTGCTCATTGATGAATGACACAATTGAAGCGGTACGGAAATGTTCCAGAGATGATTTGCTTAATGTCTCATGGGAGCCTAATTTAGATGTTCATAAAGATAGCCAGAGCAATATTTCTCTTCCTTTTGTAAGTATTATGATGACAGATCATAGTAGAGCTGATTCCTCTACTCAAACTGATCCATTAGTATCTCACATCAATTGTAGTGTTGTGGATGTAAACTTGTCGATTGGTAAAGAATTTAATTTTGAAGATTCGATTTGCAATGAGAAAACCGATTCGAATTTAGTAAGCAGACGTTACAGAAAAAAATCTTTCGAAGACAACGGGGATATTCGACCCTCGAAGAAAATAAAATGTTCAAAAGAAAATACAAGCTATGTGACGGATTATTTGACGGAAAATAAGTCATTTAAATCATCAGACTCGTCGAGCAGATTGTCGTCAGATTCAGAAGTATCGTTTAAATCTGTAAACAGTAACAGCTCGTATAAGATACGCAAAAGAAGATTGAAATCTGAGACAAATTTACTGAGGGACGCATTGCACAGAGCAAGAAAGAATATAAGTAATTGTAAGTAATTTTTCTTCTTACTATTATAAATGTCAATATTGAGATGGATGGATGGATAGATGGATGTTTGAAGGTATCTCCGGAACGGCTGAACGGATCTCGATGAAATTTGGCAAACATATATAACATGGTCTGGAAGAACACATAGGCTACTTATTTTTTTAATTACGCGTGAGGGGGGGGGAGTTGCGGGCGACAGCTAGTTTTCCGTAAAAAATAAATCTTTTTATCCACCGCCATATCAGAGATAAACCTATTTTGTGATAGGTAAAAACTGGAATCGAACTGACGACCGCAATTTGTTTCCTCTAGTGAAATATATAAAAGTGCTAACATAAATCCAATCAGAAGATACTTTTAATAACGGAATTGCACACAGTAAAACAAAACAAACAGTTGATAGTAGACTTAATTAAGAAGTAGTAATGTAGACATAAAATACTTATAATAAAGTTGTAATTAAAACAAAGTTATTGTTGTGATTACAAATTTATTTTCTTAAGTAATACAAAGAAAAAATATTAAAAGGTTAAAAGGTCATTTAAAGTGATACGTCGGTTAATTTCATAACACGACATTCGTGTGCTGATAAATTTAGAGTAATGACATCATTCGTTTTCAAAACCTAACGTGCACGATGCGAATCAAGTTTGAACGAGATTGTTGTCGCTCGTGTTTGAAAACATAAAGTAAAAATGTGTGCTAAAAAAGGGAATGTTGTGTTGGATGTGGAAATAGAATGTGATTTAGAGCCAAGGATGTTGAATGACGTGAATTGGTTCGTTTTCACAGGCGAGACACCGCGCAGGGATAAAGGAAATCGAAGAGTGAACCGAGCGAAGTCATGGCGTATTTTGGATATTTGTACCTGGCTTGGACGGAAGGTAAGATTATAAAATTTATGTTTGCTAGTATCCTCTTTAATCCTAGCTAATAACTAACGAATTAACACTAGGTCCTCGCGTCATTTATCATTTGTATCATAAAAAAGTGCTTGGCAATTTATTCGAAACAATTATAACAATATAATGCATATATAATATTATATCAAGTATTATAAAAGTAATGTACCATATAAACAGGTACATACATGTACAGAATAAACAGGTGTTATTCCGATAATTTGTATATAATGTAAACAAAGCCGCAAGTATCATTCTGTGGCGGTCTTACTATACCCCTACTGAAGATGACAGATACGTAATATTTGTCTTTCCCTAAGTTCTTAGCTGGACTGCTAAGACGAATATTATTTACGTGTTCCTCTGAAACCAATATTCAACTATTTCGTCTTATCCACGATATTTTTAATTAACACGTTAAGCGCCGCGTCAACAATCGGTAGCTGACACCGGTCCTTTAATACCAGTGCGTATAAGCGACACTCGTGGCCTGTACGGGATTGTCTTAGAAATACGCGTGGCGCTCGACGTGTTAATGTTTTTAATCCATTTGGTCCAAGAACTGATCTAATACTCTGTTCAGTATTACTCCGTTGGGTACGAAATAATTAAATTAATTTGAAGTCGATCTCAAGTATGTTTGCACCGGCCACCTTTAATACTTTTCAGGGTTACCAGTCTATAACTGGTCTATACTCCGAGATGCTTCAAGAGCCTAGACCTTGCAGCAGGGACTGTGGAGGCAGTTTTGTGGTGGAAGAAGTTAAAGAGTTGAGAAAGTTTGTAGAGGAACTAAATACGAAACAGTCGCGGCTATCTCTAGAGAACGAGGAGCTTCACGAGAGAGTTAAAAAGATGACCATCAAAATCGATGATTTGGAGGATAAGCTAAGGTAAGACTTGCTAGTTATATGACATCACTTAAAGTCTGTTATCGTAAATAATAGACGCTGTCCATCTTTTACGGTACAAACATAGCATGCTAAATTTTGGCACTCAAACTAACAATCACTATTTATATAGCCTAATTGATTTAACAATAAACGGTGTCTAAACGCAGTTGATGGGTGTTACTGTTTAACAAATTTTCAGCAGTCCATATTGTAATTATATTTACTTACAAAGGTATACACATTATGTACAGCAAGCAGCAAGTAGCTAAGCCAACAGTTCCAGTAAAGGGTGCCCCGCCCCCTCCACCACCGCCACCGCCCCCGCCACCACCTCCGCCGCCGCCTCCCGCCACAGTGACCAAGCTGCCGGTGCGCTCCAACACTCTGCCACGCTGCGGCTCTGCACCGCCCAGGATCGCCGCGCCACGCCTCACCATCACCCCGGAGGACATTGCCAAAGTCAAGCTCCGGAAAGCCAAGGTTGGTAATTACCAAAAAAACTGGATGACAAAATTAAAAAACTTCGAACTTTATCATAACATATCTCACTAGGTCGTTATTTAGTCACTAAGGTAGTGTTTTAGTAAACTTAATATAGGAAATCAACTTTAACTGCGGACTAGCCAACGACTCAGTGTGGTAATAAGTCACTTTCAAAGTCCTTAGACAATTAGAATAATCCCTTATTATAAACTTTTTAGTGATAATCGTAATTATCCGGTACAGGATAATCCGGTGAAGTGTAAGCCGATTCCTAAAGAGAGTCAGCCGCTCGTCACTCAAGACATGCTGCAGTCGACGCGCGCCAAGCTCGGCCGATCTCGGCCCGTCGCATCTTCTACGCCAAAACAACAGCTCACGGAACTTGAGAAGTAATTTGACACTTGGATATCATTGATTCTAAAATATTTGAAATTCAATAATCCTATTTGTTTGATTGTGTAAACAGATGTTTGCTGCAAGAGACATCGGTAACGTCACTGTTCCGGCGGCGCGCGTCTCGCGGCTCATTCCGTAGCGCGGAGGAGCTGCGCGTGCGGCCATATCCCGCCCGCTCGCCGCGCTCTCCACGCTCCCCGCATTCGCCGCGCGCCAACTCCCTGTCGCGCGCCGCCACCATCGCGCCAATCAAATTCCCGCTATTAATTACAAATAATGAATAAAAGTGACAATGTCCGTGTGAGTTGTCAAATCCACGAACTTGTGGATGCGTTAATCAAAAATTAATATCATATATCGGTTCAAATGTGATTATTTCCGTTAATTAATATTTTCACTGCAAATATGTAATTCTTTGTGTAATATTTATCATTTTTTATAAAGAGTTTTACGGCCAGATGTTTTATAGAACATAATTAGTGATCCATTTCGCCTTTTAAATGTTTAAAAACGTTTTGTTGTCTTTCCAAATTAGTTTTTTATTACGACAACGTTAATAGTAATTAACACATTTTTTTATTTGCAATTTGCATGTTTTAAAAAATTAAATACCATACGGAAAAATAAGCAGAACGGGAGTTGACCATAATCGTTAGTTTATTTTGTGAAAATAAATAAGACTGTTGATGAGGAATATTATTTTAGTCTCGTGGAAAGAAGGTAAAAAAAAACAATTTGATGGGGATGGGTCCATAAAGAACACTTTGTATGATGAAGTGGTTATTGTACTTTTCTTAAATTTTGTAAGGATCATAAAGTACTATTTGAACATCTTTGATAACAATATATTTTTTTAACTAAATAACTTTGTCTTCTAAAATCGAACCTATAAAATCTTGCAGTATTCGTATTTGTTTTATATAAATAGCAAATAATTAATAATTTTGGACTTGATGGACATTCCGGGTTTTGTTATAAACTTAGAGATACTTTATTGTATATTATGCATTTATTTTCAATAAATTTGATTATTTTAGTTATTTTTCGGGATTTTCGTTATAGACATAACCTATCCAATTGAATATTTGGTATAGTCAAACAAGGGAATCTGAACTGTTTAGGGGTCGCTCATAGCTACCGCAATAGCGGTTGCATCTAACAGCCGGTAAAACCGTATGAAGAGGATCTTGACATTTTTTGACTTCGTTAGGGCAACTGGGCAACGCTAGTGAGGTGTCATCATTTAGTTTGACTAACATGTATAAAGAAATCTGAAGGTAAAATTAAAATATTTGCTGAAATCAAGCAAATGTCTCTCATCCTTTTTTCAATCATTCAATTTCTTGTTTCTTATTTCTTTGTACTTGCAAACATCAAATATGTCAACCTTAAACGACGAATATTAAGTGATGTGTAGTGAATCCAAAGTAATAAACATTTTCCAAAATAAGATATGACCTAAAGGTCTATGTTACCAGGTCATAAAATTAAAAAAAATATGTCAGCCAAATGTCAAGTGTCAAATGAAATTTTGTTATCAATTGTTCCAAGAACAAGAAGATTGTCAGTTGTCAGTGATAAAAAAGGAATCAATATCTTGTAAATAAATTAAAAGCAAGTTAATAAAAAAACAAAAACAGTAATAATAATTATCTTTATTTCTTATTACTGAAAAGTGTAAGTGTACCATGCGATCAAGGTTTTGTTTAAAATCCTGTGCTTTACAACTATATTATTGAGCGTAATTGTCAATAATATTAGAAGAATAATGTTAACTAAAATTTTGAAACTGTCTTCTTAAATAATGAAACATCTGTTAAATTGTGTTCTGGTTTGTAATGAAATGTAAATGAAAATGGATTTCAGTTCTCTAAATCCTACAACTTCAAATGCGCTAAATTTAGCAGCAAGAAGCAATGATGTGGAAAAAGTTAAAAGACTACTTAAAACAATCAACCCTAACTGCGTTGATAACAGAGGGTGGACTTGTTTGCACGAGGCTGCAGCTGCAGATAGCTATGAGAGCCTTTTGGTTATCTTAAATCATCCTGACTGTCGGCACTTGGCTGAAGACCATGAAGGCTGTACAGCACTTCAAGTTGCTTGCAGTAATGGTGCATCTATAAGAACTATTAAGGCAGTCTTAGATCATGCACCAGATATAGCAAATTATGGAACATATGAAAATGTAACACCATTACATATTGCAAGTTGCCAAGGCAATTTAGATTTAGTACAGTTACTCATAGACTATGGTGCTATACTAGATGTGCAGGACTTTGATGGGCACACAGCATTACATGGTGCTGTATTAGCTAAACAGCCTGAAGCTGTGAAAATATTGCTATGTGCAGGGGCTGATCCTGAAATCCGGGATGAATCTGACTTCACAGCATTTCATTTTGCTTGCTACAAAGGTTGCCTAGAATCAGTGAAGGCGTTGTTGCCATATGTAAATAATATAAATCAAGTATCAATCAATGGGGATAGTCCATTAATGCTGGCAGTGATAGGTGTTTGTGATGACGTAGTTTCATATTTAATTGAAGTTGGAGCAGACATACATGTTAAAGATGTTGATGATGATATGGCATTAAACATTGCATTAAAGAGTGGGCACACTTCTATATTTAAACAGCTTCTGCTTGCAACTGATAGAGATAAAATTAATAATGATATTATACTTTACGCATGTAAGCCACATTACTTGAAGGTTGATATTCTTGAAACTTTGCTAACATTTGACTTGGGTCCAAAGTTCTTTGATTTAGTAGAGCCCTTTCATGTGGTGCTAGAGAAGATAGGTAATATAAGGCCAACCTACCTCACCACTGCACCTCTGAATTCATACTTAAATATATGCGAATATATTTATCAAATGTCACCAAAAAGATTTGAAGAATATTTTTACATATTTCTCGCAAACGGTGTTTCAGTCAATGCAATAAATATAAACGAATGCCCGCCACTTGTCTATATACATTATTCAACACATTCGACTTGTTTTTCAGAGGTGAGTTGATTATTTTTTCAAGTCAAGATTTTTTGTTTTCGTATTGATAATGTGCCTTTTGAGGATAAGTCACCTCTTACAAGGCAAACAAACAAGAATGGCTACATTTACATAAGCTTAATCTACTGTAAATATTGGATTAAGTGTATGTAGTCAGTTTGTAATTGTTTTTGTAATGTATGTATAGTGTTGTATCGGATTCATTCCGTAAGAAAAAAAAATATTTAGTTAAAAACTTGTGTGTATGAAATAAGAACATTAAAACCTATTGAATTTTTAATAGCAAAACTATTAACTCAATATAGAGGGCCACAGAACACCGTAATTAGGAATATCGACTGTACTCTTCACGTCAATAAAATTTGTTTACAGGTATTCAATATACTCTGTGGCCATGGTTGCAATGTTGATTATTGTACTACCGCATTACCATCAAGCAAGGAATGGTGTATTCCTGATGCATTCGTAGCATCGCTCACTTCAAATCCTAGTACAATACCAGTAATGTTGCCATATAGTTTGGCCTGTGAACCTGATTTTCTTTTAAAATTTTCCTATCAAAATAATATACTGCCAAGAATACCATTACAGGTAAAAGCTTAATTTCTTCAGTTTGTTCGTACCAAGTTCATTTTAAATAGGTAAAATTACTTCAAAATTTCCTTTGAAAAGTATGGCCATAACACATTATGTGTCTATGAAATGCATATTGAATTACCTCTCATTTATGCTTCCGTGTGGAATTAAAAACAAAATGGGTTGTTTATCTTCTATACCAGAATGTAATTAGACTGTTGGACCTAGTCTTTTCCGAATGTCATCCAGATCTGTATACATTTACATATCCATTTATACATTAGTAAGATAAGAAGTAAGAAAGTTTATTTGTGTTAATAAAATTTATTTTTCAGGTGCAAGAGTACTTACTTGTATTGATCGGTGTGGATTTGGACAAAACTACGGCTGAAACATTGTCATATACTGTACTACCATTGAAGCATTTATCCAGAGTAAAAGTTAGACAGTCGTTAAGATATCAATTGGGTAACAAAATATCAAGTCAATGTTACCTTCAACTTCTTAACACTTTAAAAGTACCACAAATTATTAAAAATTATTTACGTTACAAATAATTTTAAAATGATCATTATTGTTTATGTTATTTATTTTTTTAAGTGAGTGTGATATGAACGATATAGAATATCAATAAAAAATGTTTTGGTGTATTTATCTTATTTATTTTTCAAAAAACAATAAGTAAAAATTATTTAAAAAAAACATAACGCCATTATAATGACATGGATAATATCTATAATGATTTTTATATAATAAAATAATGTTTCACTTATTTAAAGTTGGCACCATCAGCCATGAATTCTTCGATTTCGGTAACCCTGAAAAAAAAAACAAATTTTTGATATAAAGTCTGTATTATTTAATTTAAAATGGTTTATATGAATTATAATACTCTATGTGTGGATATTAGTGCGGAAATATATTTAATAGTTAGAGAAAAAAAGATTTTAGTAATTAGTAAAAAAATACTCACGTTCTGGGAACACTAGTAAGGTCTTCGATTCCATTCTCAGTGATGAGCACGTCATCTTCAATGCGAACACCTCCAAAGCCTCGGAACCTGTTCACTACTTCCCAGTTAAAGAATCTCGCTTGAGCTGGATCATTCTGCGCTTTATCCAATAGCTGTAATATAATATAAACCCTTTCATGGTGGCGCCACAATCTCCATTGATATGGCAACATTATATAAATACGTCAGGACAATTGACAAGTTAATGTTATTAAAAATTAAATCTAGCCTAGATTTATCGTATTTTTAATTTCTTTCATTTTTCAGAATATTTACATTAAAATATTTTAAAAATTACAACGCGAATTCAATACTTTGACAACTCGACCGACAGACAGAAACGTCAACGTCATGGCATAGAATTAGTGGCGTTTCGCAAAAAAAAAAAATTAAATGAAAATGCTATTATAATTACAATATTAGTTCCGTGAGGGAACCTGTTCCGCTTGGTTCTCCCAAACATGGCATTTTGTGATTTTTTATCATGACGTCATACTTACTTTGGGTATGAAATAGCAGCCAGGTTCCACAGTGAGCACCATGCCGGCCAACAAGACTCGCGCTGTGCGGAGTCGTGCGAGGGGTCCAGCAGGCCGCTCGGGGCAGCTGGACAAGTACCCGCCCACATCATGCACGTCCAGACCCAGCAGGTGACCCAGCCCGTGAGGCTGCAGCACTCCGTTCACACCCGCCTATATCATGTGAACATTGTCAGATAATCCAACTAGGCATATTGTAAACTAGCACAAAATGACTTGATGGTAATGTCGCTGTATCGATGTTAAACTAGACGGCCAAAGTAAATCCAAACTAGTGAATACTAATATTATGAAGAGGGAAAAGATTTATGTGTTGAATAGACCCGGAAACTACTGAATCAAATTAAAAATTTATTTCACTGTTGAGAAGCTATACTATACCCGGGTGACATAGTCTATATTTATTACTACTTTATTTTTTGAATAAGTTAAACATACCGCTATCATATCTTCGACGTCACCTATAAGTAGACCGCCTTGTTTGAGATGCTCCAACATCGCTCTGTTCGCCACCAAGTGCATGTCAGGCCATTTTACACCAGGTCTCGCCTCCCTAAATGTATATGCATTCAATAATTTAACTAATAAAGAGAAAGTTTTAATAAGGGAAAGATAGGAAGAAGTAACAGATTATACAGAGTAGGAGATGTACAGGAAGGGAAAATATCTTTCTGTACTGTATAATCTATAGACAGCTGTCACTTCGTCATCATAGCCAAATAAACATTTAAACAAAAAACTTGTATATGGAAAAGAAGTAATTAATCGACGATATTGGACCTGAAGACCGCATCTCTGCCGGCCAACACGGCCTCGTAGATTAGCTTCTGATCTTCAGTGAACTTGCCGTTGGCAGGAAACGAGCACGTGATGTCCGCCGCGTAACCCGCGTAGTTACCGCCCATGTCGAACAAACTACAACATAATATCTTACTCTCAATCTTCATATTTAATATTAATAATTGGATGGATGGACGTATGGATGTTAGATGGTATTTCCAAAACGGCTAGATGGAACTTGCTGAAATTTGGCATAGATGTAGCACATAATCTGGAAGAACACATAAGCTACTAAACAAGTCAAGTGGAAATCATTCAGAGCACAATCTACCATCTATTTTTAAAAAGCGAAAGCGTAGCTTTGAAAGAGGATGGGAGAAATAGAAAGAAGAAATATCCCCTTTCCTGTCCGTTAAAAGAAGGCACTAAAAACCCAGTGTTAGCTAACTGACCACATATCACCGTCGTGCATCATCTTGCAGTTGGGTGCAGCTGCATGTCCGTAGTGCAACACGGCCGCGTTATCTCCTGAGCCGCAGATACAGGTGTACGAGACATGCCGACACCCACCGATACGATAACAATGGTCGAGGAACACAGACTCGCATTGATACTCCATACGACCAGGCTTCGCGTAAAGCATCACCTGCCCACCAACATACCAACCTCTTTATTCTTATATCTATAAATGGATAGGCGATTGCTTGGAAATGACAGCATTTGCTTCGTTCCGATTTAAACTGCCATTTTGGCACTTGTGGTAACGGTTTGTAGCTCTTGGATTTGAACTCATAGATAAAATTAACTGTCAAGTAACATCAACAGGGGGATAAGACAAAGTGCATTTGCTCCGAAGCGATTCCATAACGAACTTCAAAAATGTATATAATTGACAATAACTTTCGATAAGTCACGTGATTGCGAACGAAATCGCTTCGAAGCGAATGCACTTTGTCTTACCCCCCTGTTGATGTTACTTGACAGTTAATTCTATCTATAAGTTCAAATCCACGAGCTACAAACCGTTACCATAAGTGCCAAAATGGCAAAAATCAAATATGCACAAAATATTTCCTTTTATAGCCAATTATTTGCTTAATTTGGTTAATGCTGTATTCCCAATGGACAGGCTATAAGCCGTGGTGTTTTGTGCCTATTTGATTATCCTTAGTTAAAAATGTGCGAAAATAATATGGAAAAAAACCTTATGATAAATTTATATTACATACTATTTCTTACCTTTTTATGTGCTTCGGAAGAAGTTTTACAAATATAGCGCATAACTTCAATCTCTTCGGGAGTTTTTATGACGCGTCTGTAACAATTCCCCAAACAGTAATTTTAATATTTAATTTAAAAAAAAAACCAGATCTAATCTCGTTACTTCCATTTGACATTTACCTATTTCAAATCTTTCATCGATTTCAATCTGAATTGAAAAATAAATACACATTTCCATTTTGAGAGGATGCATGGAAAGCGAAAATATGTTTTCTTTTTGTGCATCCTCTCCTCCGTCGATTAAAGGTAGGCAACGCATATGCAATTGCGTATGTCTATGGGCAACGGTCACTTCGCTATTTCAGCGATTTCAGGCGGCCGCTCGTTCGTTTGCCATCTTATGATATAAAAAAAAATCCATTTCCAATATCATATTGAAAATATTCATTGACATAAGACAATATCATAATATGTTTTATATATGTAATTTATTATGTGCAAGAAAGTTGATTACAAGCATAATTATCTTTTTTTATCATACATCACTTGCTACGAATGATTAAACTTATCATATTATTAAAAAAAAATTAAAACAATTATAATTAACCTTCGCCAGGGAATGTAATTTTCCAGAATTCAAAATCTTCACTTAACATTCTGAAATTATTTTTGTCCCTTTCTAACAATCTATCTGTCACACCTATCTATCTCAGTATAGATGTTGTTATATCTTATACATAAAATTCTCGTGTCACAATTTTTGTTCCCATACACCTCCGAAACGGCTTGACCGATTCTCATGAAATTTTGTGAGCATATTGAGTAGGTCTGAGAATCGGCCAACATCTATAATATTGTTAATCCCGCGCGGACGGAGTCGTGGGCGACAGCTAGTATATTATAAATGTGGGGAATTCAAAAAAGTATGTGTGTACTTACAACTCTGCGATAATGGGAAACAATATCTCATTGTCAACTTTGAATCTGCAAGTTAATACATAACTTATGTTAATCTCAAGATCAAAATAACATATTTATGACCTACAGCCTTGTGTTCAATATTTTATTTATGAGTGCTCGATGCATTTTTAATGGTGAATTTCCACTGCCATAATTGCCTTAGTAAGATCCTACTAATATCTTACTAATATTATAAATGCGAATGTATACATGGATGGATGGATGGATGTTTGTTTGAATGTATCTCCAGAACGACTTTTGGCAGACACAGACATAGTCTGGAAGAACACATAGGCTACTAATTTTGTTTTTTAAATTCTGCGCGGACGGAGTCGCGTGCGTCCGTTAGTATATATATAAGAACTTATTGACATGCACATTTTTATGAGAAACTTACTCATCAATTCCTTCAAAAACTGCTTCCTTAGCTGTCAGTCCACTATCAGTGTTAGGACCACTCTGAAAATAGTATTATATAAAAATTAATTCATTTTACAACAAATTTTCTATATAGTATTTTAAATAACCTCTTAATATAAAATTTATTTCTAAATTTAAATAAGTATTATCATTTGAAAAACGAAAAAAAAACTATAATGAAAAGTTACCATTAAATTTGCAGAAAAAAAACATTTAGTGTTTTTTTTTTGGAGAAAATATTCGAAAGGGTAAATAACGAGATTACTTACAAGGTCAGACAATTTTTTTACGTTTATGTTAAAATCTGTCTGATTTTGTGTGCCTTGCGGTTAGGAATATTAAAGTGGTTTGCAGATAAAGTAATAAGGTCACCACTAGAAAGTGCCTCTTGAATATATCACAACAAATATCATACTTACAAGTGTCAAAAGCAGTTCTGGATTCAATTGTTTCAATATCTCTTGAAGCTGCAATAAACAAGATTCAATATTACACATAAAATCCTAATACTAAATAAAAAATAATATTTGATATATTGATGGTTTCTAGAATATATCGAGTAGTTTACTCTTTTTTTTTAATATATTTAACTTTATTTAAGTTATAAAAAAGAACCTAAGGTAAACATTTATGCCTATATTAATTAAATATCTTCCTAACAATATCAAAAAGGAACATGTATGAATGAATGGATGGATGGATTTATATATATTTTTTTTGCAAGTACCTCCAAATCGGCTCAAGGGATCTTGATAAAATTTGGCATAGATGTAGAACATAGTCTAGAAGAACATATAGGCTACTAGTTAAGTTTTTTATTTATTCTGTGGCTCTGGTGACTGTAATGTGAATAGTATCCCTATAGTTAGCTTTACCTCATCAACATAATGAACTTCTTCAACTCCATATATTTCCTTGAACTGCTGGCAGGTGAGAAGCTTCCCCATCCAGACTTCGTACTCATCAGGCAACCTCGGTACGAATAGGTGACCTTTTTTAGTGCTAACATCTAATGCAAAGTAGCAGCCTGGCTCTCGAACGCCACATATCCAAGTGAAATATGATTCCTGAAATATTTGAAGTCAGTGTAAAATCCACCCGTATTAAGATTAAATGCTTATTTAAGTTTGCTATATTTTAAAAATACCTACTAATGAAATTAGTTAAATTCTTTTAGCCACAATTTTTTTTTAATACAACCAATACATTGGTATTTAGGACTATGAAGACATCTGTGAGAACTATGACTCATAGCAAGTATTGAGTTCAGGTAAATTTAATATAAAATTGAATACATAAATGTATGCAAATAGATAGACTTGACCCACATGCTTGGTTATAACTGAATAGCTAAAGGTAAATTTAATTTCATACTGTGATACAATAGCAAACATATTTATTTGTCGACTAGTTGTTGCCTGTGCCTTCATCCGTATAAAATAAAAATTAATAATTTGTAGCCTATATATTCTTCCAGACTATGTTCTACATATATGCCAAATTTCTGCAAGATCATCTACATCAATGCTATGCAGCATTTCATATCATTGCATTTATAATATTAGTAAAATAGTAAGATTTAAAAATAGATAAAAAGATTACAAATTGGAATAAAGACAAACTCACTTTTAAAGTTATAAAATGAAACTAATATTATAAACGCAAATGTTTGTATGGATGGATGTTAGTTACTGTATATCTTAAAGACGGTTGTATCTCGATGAAATTTGGCACAGAATTAAACTACAATCTGGAAAAACATAGGCTGATAACTAAGTTTTCTTACACTAAATTTAGTGCAGATGAAGTCAAAGGCAAAAACTAGTAAATAAAAACTTCAAACTTAATATGGACTAATGAACTATTGTACTGTAGCTTTACTTTTGACCAACAGATAAATTTTCATTATAAAATCGAAACTGTAAGATAACAATCTTACAAGTGTTATAAAATGATTAATTTACATACCTGTCTAAAAACGTATTCCACATCTGTGTCATAATGATTTATACTATCACCTCCTTGTAGAACAACTATTTGGCCATTTTGTAGTTTTTCCGCTAGTCTTTCGCGATTTTTAGCAAACAAAGATAAAGGCACTTCATAGGTGCCTGGACCCATAGACCATGCAGTCGTCATCGTGTCTGTAAGTATACTGGAATACTGATACACTGCACACTTGTTTAACACGTTATCTACGCGATAAAACTATTCCGAACAATGTATAAATTACGTCTTTTCTACACGTCAATATCAATTGAACATTGTTATAGCTGCAGCCTGTTTATGTATGGTTATTTCGCTGATTGCATGCTGTGTATGTCAGTTGCACTAGCCCATTGTGATGTTACTCAAAATAAATGATAGCGGTAGCTATGAATAATTGGAATGTTTTAAGTGCCATTATTTAGTTTTATTATGGAACTTTATAAGCACATATGAAAACTATTAGTCACCTTTTCAGTTCGAGCTAAATAAAAACTAGTTGTATATCATCGTTATTATTGTAATTATAACATTTTATTATTCTTTAGCTTTAAATTTTTTAATGTTATGATTTATAATAAGACTTTGACGTTTGATGAATGATGAAAAATTGACAAGATGAATGTCACACGGCATAACAGACATGACTGAGTTTGAAAGACTTGGGTTTGGAAATTGTACTGGATTAAAATATCAATTATTTTGTTAAAAATTTATGATTTAAGTTTTGTTTGAAATGTAAAAAAAAAAACAAATACGGTACGAAAAATAAATACTAAAACTAAGCAAGAAGCACGAAGTACTAAGTTCTGTGAAACAAAATAATGCTAACGAATCAATGAGGATATTTGTCAGATAAAGACTTATCATGTTTTTTCTGTTGGCTTTTTACATTGCATTGAATTATTTACATTTTACTACTTGCCGATAGAGGACGCTGTTTAAATTGGTAAAGCATTTAAAAAATGAAAACACGTATTACAAAAACCTTTTTGGTATAAAAATTCATTATATTGCTACATTTTGTAAAATGTCGTTAAGTAATTTTTCAGAGTAATAATTTAGTTTTTTTAACTTAACCGCTATTAGCCGCTAGAGGACTATGTTTAAAATAAGTGAGTTTTTAAATCCATAATTTGTTTTCTTTAATAAAATGGCTACTTAAAGAAATTTCCTTTAAATAACCATAATAAAAAAGATAAACATTCATTCATGTTCTATCTTCACATTAAGTAGCACAAAATTTTGGGTATATATTTCCAGTTAAATGTAGAATTTTCTGATATGGTCCTGTAGATCTATGCTATAAGTAGATTTAATTATTTTTTTCAGGCATGGAGTCGTTTTGTGTAGGTAAAATATATCCTACAATGTTTTTTAACTGTACAAGTGGCATTTAAACTTTCACCTAGCAGTTTTATACAGGTTAATTGGACACATTGCTCATATTTTATGTAATAGTGCATGTTAGGAATTAAAAATAGGAACCAAGGGTATTTAAACAAGTTGAGATTCTTTGAAATTCATTCCATTTATTAGATAACTATTAATTCTTATCTAAATCACAAGATCGACGATAAATTAAACTATCTAGAAATCACAAAAATGCACTAAAACATGCACACATGTTATATTACATTGATTTTATACCCAAATCGATAATGTTGTACACAATATTTTTAATGTACTACAGAGATAGATAGGTATTTAATTTAAAAATTTCCTATTATAATAAAATTGCCTAAGTAAAACAATTAGGTATTTGACGTTCACATTTCGAACGTGTGTCATAACCTCTTGTATATCGCATTTGTGCGATACAATTTTCCTTATACTATACATACTCAACATGCGAGGAAGTAACTGTACTAAAAGCAGTTCATTACTGTTATGTCTACAATCACTTCATAAGAAAACAGTTAACTAATTATTTCATCTTTGCAAAGTAACAACATCAGAGAAATATGTAACGATTGACATTGAGGAATAAACTGTTTTATTATGTACAGTATTTGCGAAGTATTGAGTATATTTCTTAAATAAATAGGTACATTATGCGTAATACAGTTACAATGACTTTTTATTGAACAGTTTTACGTTCAGAGACATTAAACTATAGTTAAAGCTCACAAATACTTTACATTAAAATTAATATAATTAATTAATGATGGAAACGTCTCCGTACAACAATAGGTCACTTAAAATGATAAATTAATTAAATTTGTTATACAAAAGGCATAACAATACTAAACATTTGTTACGTCATTCAGAACTTTGAACAGTTAAGGTCACTATAAAACGAAGAATAAATATTATGATTGTAGAGTACCGGCGGCCATTTTGGTTCGTTCTCGTGATTCGTGTCGTGCGTGACACGTCATAGCCGGCCATCTCGCTCTCGCATGCTCTCCGCATATAGCACCATTGTAACCCGACACTTTTTTTACACAAGCGATTTCACAACACGTTCCACACTTTCACAACTAAAATGTTTATTTCAATATGAATAATTAAGAATCTACGGATATTTCATGACAGGATTGTTTTTTTTCTTGTAATCTCCGGACAGCCTCGGCAACAAGGGCACGTTGCTCCAATAACCTTTCTACGAGATCGACAGGTTCTTGCTTTCTAATGTAGTAGGGTGCAGCACGAGCTCGAGCTTGCAGGTGGAGCTTTTGTTTGAGGCCAAGTGTCAATTCTTCTATAGCCGGTAATCTGGTAGAAGCTAACGGACGGCCCTCGTCCTGAACAGTATTGCGGTTGTCGTACCTAGTGCTCTCTTTCAACATAGCGTTGAATGTGACGAGCCGTTTATTGATAAATAAATAATCTGCTTCACGGATATGACGACGCGCAACAACGTTTGCGAATGTCGAATGAATGAGCGAGGCGAGCGAGCCAAGCCAAGCCGACCCCAGCGTAGGAATCGCGGGCCTGTGCGGGGGCACAGGGGGGAGGGGTATGACGTAGTCAGATGCGCAGTCGTGCCGGGCTGTATACAAACAATACGATGGACGTAAATAAACACAAGATCGAGCCGACACGCCTGTAATTCGAACGGTGTTATCTGGTATGTGGTGTTGTGTTGGTAGTCCGACCGTCGTCGTTCGATTTGACCGGCGCGGACGGAACAAGTTTGACGTTGGGTACTTGGGAACGATTCTGAAGCAGGTGGTCGATACGACCAACTTTTATGCTTATTTAGGTTATTCTTGTTCTTGTAACTTTTTATCACCTAACGTTATCACTACTTTAGCGTTAAACGAAATGAAATCGGGTAATGAGGTGATGTTTACTAATAATTAATGTTTTCATTGCTTTGAATGATATTTTATTTATCACTCGAAGTTTGTATGTAGCTGTAATCAGTAATCGAAACGGATGTATATCGCAATCAAATGTTTGTAATAACTTGTTTTTGTTGTCGTTTCTGACAAACAACAAAACAAGAATTGTCGAATTCAGATTACAGCGTATAACATCAAGGATTTAAAAAAAATTCCGCTTATTTTATTCATATAATCTAAAATATTTATTATGGTACTCATTATTATTTAACTAATATTAGCTATAAGAGAACTTCTGCCACATATATCTACGCCCTTCTCGGACATACGTTCGCAATCTTCCATTTTATTATTGTGCTCGCTGGATTCTCATTTCGATTATCAATTGACACAAAATTTTGCCGCTCCTTTACTCTATTATTTCTCTGATCTTTCGTTCTTCCTTTATAAGGTTTTTTAATATTTCTTGACTTATTTACCGACGTACTATAACTTTCTTTGTCCAAAGCATCCTTTCCTTCCATAGTCGGTATTAAACTTTGAAAGGCTCCTGTCTTTCCTTATCCTTTTAAGTGCAACTGACACGGGAGATTGGCTTGCTATTTTTGGGGCCTCCAGTTGCATGTAGTAAAATTGCCAGTGATAATGATAGTTAACAATTGCCATTGGGTCAAGTTCTAGACGCAGTGACTTGCAAACAGAACATATCTTATTGAGTCGTTCTTATTGAGTAGATACCTTTAATAGTTCGCCTTATTGGGCATTACAAAATACATGATATAATACGGTTGTCGGGTGTAAACAAATACAAATATATTATAACGATATTTAATTTCGTAGGTAAATTATAAATTTAAAGCTCCAGTATCATCTTTTCATCTTTAATTAACACAAATATAATTTCGTTAGATAGGACGTAAAAATGTTTGTTAATTATTTGTCAAAATGTACATTATACGTGTGTCTATTTAATTTTGTACGGGACGTTAACATAATTTACATACCTGCGAAGAGCTACAGGTACTCAACATTGAATAATGATCTCAACAGCTTGTAATAATAACCTTGGCAAAGTAAACTAGCTCTTAGGTTATGTACTTTTAATGTCGTTAATTGTTTTAACTTGGTTAATGTCGATCATTCTAGTGTTTGAGACGCATACGCATGTAGTTGTGAGTTGGTTGTCTTGCTAAAACTAAAAACGGCCAATGCCCCCAACGTCGTGCAGTTTTTTTCCTTCTGTTGATCATTGTATTTTGACCTGTACGTTTACTTCGCGGACAGACATGAAGATTACTATTTCATCGACAAGGTTACATTATAAATTATTTATTTAATTTTAACTTAACTATGATTTACAAATTATAAACATAATTAAATTACGTTACAATTGAAATCATATATAAGTAGAGATCTAAAAGAATTTTTTACTTGTGACGTTTTACAACAGTAATAAGTATGCAACATATTAATTATAGGGAATCCTTTTTTTCATACATAAAATCTTTCAATTGTTACAAACAATTTGTTTACAAGAAAAACGGTGAGTGTAACTAGAGTCGTTGACTTCTAAATAGTGCGACCGTTGCAGAAGTATATGTTTTTGTTATTTCAATAAAAAAACTTTGCAACAGTAAAAACTTCGCTACCTATAACATTTACTTGTTGTTATTTCAATGAATTATTGATCTTTTCCTCCTTGACATAAAACCGGTAATAAAAATAACTAAATTAGATTATGTTTACGTATATAACCACAAAACAAATAAACAATACTCAAGGTTATTCCTCACAATCAAATATTTCCATTGGTTATCCCTTTCAGTAAGAGATATCACAATTTAATCATTTCTTATTACTATTATAATGATTTTAATGGTTTTCTTTTATCATTCAATTATCATTTATAACTATATAGGCCACTTTTTTATTTATAAATTATTTCTTTTCATATTAAATAGCGCTAAAGTTTTATTCTTGTTCTAATCGTTTCCTTAAGTAGTTGACCTTCAAATAAAAAGATAAGAATATCTTCTGTCTACTAGATAATCCCAATGCATGGATTGTGATGGTTATAACCACGTTTTCATATTTTAAAATTAGGTATATATCGCAATAGTGCGCCATCTAGTGACAAATAGCGTTTGTATTCCTCTTAGTCTTGTAGTCACGCTTTTTACTCAGAGATGTCGGCCATTTTATGTCACTGACAGCTGATAGAACATTGTATTGATCATAGAAATCATATATATAGAGGGCAGTGGTATTAATAAAACAACATATAGCTCAAAAATACAATAGGAGAAAAATGTAGTTACGGAGTAAAATGCTGAAATCCGTCGAAATTTTGTCGGGTTCAAGAAAAACATGTCGCGTTGAAAATTAATAATGGAAATCGGTATCTAATAATCGCACTTACAGCTACCAGTTTATAGGAGGATAGGATAATAGGTACTTTGTAGAATAATAGGTGAAGATAGTGAAGGTGCCTACAAGAAAGTAAGCGGCAAAAACCATTATCGTTATAACAACATACAAGATATCAAAAGAGGTTTGAAAACATAATACATTACATTGATAATAAAAATTGCTATATTCCAGAATATCAATAAAAATTGCAGGACAACGTTCAAAATAAATTCGACGATCTACTTATCAAAAGACTAGGGGTAATTAACTTTTTATATTGTTACATACATAGTATGACTAACCTTTTGATGCATGTCTGTGTTTACGTAACTCAAGCAGGTCAACTCAAAATTCATAAGGAAAGTTACAAGCACCGAGTTGTTAATTATTACAAATCGCAAATTGTAATGCTGATGCAAAAAATTAATACAAAAATATGTAGAAATTATCACTCCAGTTGACGTTTCGCGACTGCACATTAAATATAAATGCTTTCGAAAATCTTAATAAATTAATAAAAACTTAGCGGGTAGTTGAGGAAATCAAGTACCACGCACGCACAGGCACAAATTAAAACCTTTTTCAAGGCCACAAGCGCGCATCACTGCTTCTGTTTAGTGACTTCTTAATATCTCAGTGACCGCTGTATGTTTGCGGATGATTGGGCTCTTATAAACGTAGCCAATATAAATTATAACTTAAATATTTCCAGAGTTTATTGTTTCAATTAAAATAAAACTTGTAATGACTCGTGTGTCTCTGTCTTTTTCAAAGATAATGTAAGGGATGACAAATGTGAAGATGAGAAATACGTGACAAGTGTCACCGCAGGCAAAACACAAAATAATACTTATTATTCTACTTAGTTATCTTAAACTATTATATGTAAGTTATTGTGGGTTTCTTAGACAAAAATTATATTATCCCTGTTTTGTCAAAGATGAAAGACAAGGATGACTATATGTTTTGTACAGAGATTTTGGTATCGGAAGCCAACGGTCAGTAATGTCATTGCACTGTGTTCATTTTTTTGTATCATCGTTAATATCTTGGTGAAGAAATTGATAGAAACAGTCTTTGTTAAGATTAGAATCGTGCCGGGAATTTTTATACCTCTGTTATAAATAGAAATTCCAAATAAAAAACACACAATTGAAGTTTTTGTAGAAAGTTTTTAGGCGACATATCTTTTTGCTATATTTCAATTTCCTGTATCAATCAACTATCATAACATTTTTAGGTTTCATTTTAACTTTTTTATATATGTATATTGATAAGTAATTATCGAGCATTTCTTGAGAAGAAAATTAATTGTATATATCCTTTATTTTACTAGTTTAAATATAAAGTAATCGTCAATTGAATTTTAAAGCAAGAAGACAACACGGATTTTAGAGACTAAGCGACGGTGGTTGACATTGACACCAATGACTTTCTCTTTCGTGTTTCAAGAAACTTCCATGTTGATCAAATATTAAAACTTATAAATAATTCGCATAGTTTTTTATATGAGTGTAATGTTACAAAATTGAGGTGATTAGCAAAGTCGGTTATTCGCGGCCCTCTTGCTGTTACCTCATAGTGATGAGTGGTAATCAAGAAGGTAGTAGTCTAGTGTTGTGCATTATCTATTTGTTATTGTTATCGATAATTTTGAATTTTAATTTGCAATGGAATTGAATATTTATTTTTATTTTTAACAGATTTTATCCTGAACGAATTTCAGTGGGCCAAGCTTAGTATTTGTTGAGGCTGTTAGAGTCGGCAACTCCAGAACAAGCGCCTATTTTGATTAATGAGCCTCTTTGCTCGTTTTCCGAAAATTGAGAATAAACTACATATTGGTGCTAGATGCTAATTATTACCACGGCATTGGTTTTTTACGTCAGGGCACAAAATGATCGTTTAATTATAATAATCTGCAAAAAAGGGGAAAATTCTGCTTCATTGAAAAGTTTAAATTTGACCGTATAAAAAAAATTAAATTTGATTCTATCGAGTACGTGTTCTGACAACACTAAAATGTAGCGCGCACCGAAATGTCGAAAGAAAGTGAGCGTGCCGACCACTCAGCAGTCGACATCGTCAGTACGCTCGAACCCTGGCTGCGTAGAACCCGTTTCATTGCCTTTATTACTTAATGCATTACACGCGTATCGAGTAAATTAAAATCATAGACAAAAATGTTAACGTTTTAAAAAAAGAAAACATCATTAGAGTTAAAAAGAAAAAAATACTAACCACTAATAAAGTGCATTAAAAAGTGAAATTAAAAAAATGAGCCTAAGTGAAGAAAGCAGTGGGGATGGTATACTGGCGTCCCGTCACGTCAGTCCGGAAACAAATCACAATGAAAATAATGCGATGAACACGACTTTACTTTGTCATAACTTCACTTTGGAGCCAGATTTTATTTCTTATTTGACAGGTAATAAGTTTTATATATTTTTTACTAAATTGTTAAGTAACAACATATTTATTCTTTTCAAGTGTTATTTAACATGATTGGATTATTACGTTAACTAATGTTATTCAGAATATAGATAGAGATGCATTATGTTTCTACACAGGCCGAATAAAGTCGTCTTAATAAAAAAAAACTCGAGTTTTATATTTCTACGGATTTAAGTACTCAAATTAAATTTAGCTTAAGTTAGAGATCATCTATATTTCGAGATTACTTCATTCTAGAACGAGTTCATTTCTCGTTTATTCTTTTCCCGTTTTTCATAAAGCAAACGATTCACCTAAAACTACATTGCTTTTATTCAAACATCAACTATCCTTCAAAGTCATGTACTTTATGCCTATTATCGACAATAGCTTATTATAACATCACTAGTTTACCTCTTGGCATTCAACATTTTATAAGATCCTTTTCTACATTATCTAAATTCATCCTAAAACACTGGCAGTGGGGAATATAAATAAAGAAGAAAAACTTAATTACTTCCACCTCCAAGTGTCCTTAGCTTTCAGCATTACCTGAAGCATGCAAGGACTTTTTTCGAATGTGATTCGACCTTGAATGTACCATGAACTGATAGATTATTGGCGTGGAACTGTTGTGTTATTTATATATTTTTGCGATTTAACGAAGCTGTTTTTGATCATGCTTCTCTTTTGCATATTTCTGGTGTATTATAAAAGATATTCGCAGATTAGGATAATTAGTATTCGGTTGATTTATTGTCTAAAAAAAAAAAATAATTAACCTAGATAATGTACGAAATGTTACCTTCTTTTCCTCCTTCAATTAATTTCAATATTGAATTTTAATCTGTTCATTGACTCGGTAATTTTAATGATACTTGTATTCCATTATACACGTGATTCCGGTTTCATTCCGGCTTATATTACCGAGACCGGAAATGCAATTTGATTTTGACCTTTTTATTATCGTCTCTTGTATTTTCGTTCGAAAATTAAAAGAAAAACCTTTATAAATTTCTTATGCCTACACGAAAGTTTACTTGTATAGAATATTCACATCATCAACAACCTGCCTCTATCCCTACGGAGGGTCGGCACAGTATATACTCATGAATTCACTCTCTTCTTACGCATATCTCGTTCATACTTTTAGACATTATTAATTGGAATCCTTTGGCGCGAATGGCACGCTTTCGTTTCCAAGTTAAGTGTCAGAATTATTAGTGAGGGCATATAAACGTCGACATTTTAGTAAGGCTAGTGTTGCGCCAGTATACCGGCACAGTATTGGATTTTCTTCCTAACAGTACAATCCATCCATTCTTTCCTTGGTCTTTCTCTACCAATACAATATTGTATGCAATATTCACATGTATAGGTAAGGTTTTTTAATCCCATTTTTTTTTTAAACATTTTTTTTTACATAAATTTTTATGAGTGTAGAAGGTAAATAACGGTTGATAAAACTAGATACTTTATAATAGGTATATTTATCTATTTTTATGATTATAAATTATACATAATTATTTTAGTTATGCGTGGTAAGATAACATTTGTGTTGCCCGTTGTTTATTTAAGACATAGTATTACGCAAGGCGACAGAGTAACACCAACTTTTACATAAGTCTGCGTAAGCAAAGACCGGTAACTGTGGTGCTATTGGCGTTATTGCAAACCTTTTTTTGTAGTTCTTAAATTAATGAAGAGTAAAGATTTATGATTTAGTAGCTGTCGCACGCAATTTCGTTAGCGCGGAATTAAAAAAGTAGCCTGTAATATTACAGTAGATGTCTTCCCGCCAGACATCGACAGACAGATAAAAATTTTTAAAAAAATATGTAAAGAAGCATTATGTTTGCGAAATCTTTTTTAATTACATACGTTTAATTTTATTCATTGTATAGATAATAGAAAAAAACGCGTGGCATTGCGTAAAAGTAAATTCCAACAAGTAACTAAGTAAAGATAAGTTTTTCGAACATTTTAAATTATTATCATATTATTGAAGGCTTTGTTATTATGGAACCGATATCATTTGGAAAATTAAATAACGCGACGAAGGTATAATTCAACTGTTTGTTTAATTAAAACGAGACGCGGTCGTAAATTTTGCGGAATTATCTAAATTATAGAAATGCAAAGAAGATAAAGAAAAAGATAAGATACAGTGAAAGAAAACATCCACCGACTTATAAAGCTTTAAAAAGATAATAAATGACACTCCTGACTTCAATTACTAAAGAAAAAGATAACGCACTGTATTTACATTCAAAAATCGCAATGATCTCATAAAAAGGTCGAAGTGTCAGCGATCTGACGAAGTTTACCTTGACTCCGAAATGGATTGAGATTGATTATCCGTGCAAAATATACGAGTACAACTTTTGAAGTAGTTACCACATTACTTCCGTGCTAAAGATACAAGGATCACTAGTTGTTTAAATATGAAGCTAAAGTCTCACTAATGTTATAAACTAGCTGTCGACTGCGACTCCGATTGCGAGGAGTTAAAAACTAGTAGTAATTAGTAGCCTATGTGTTCTTCCAGGAAATGTTCTATATGTATGCCAAATTTCATCGAGATACGTTCAGTCGTTCTGGAGATACCTTCAAACATCCATCCATCCATATAAACATTCGCATTTATAATATTAGTATGAATAGTAATATACGAATGTTTGGATGGATCTATGGATGGATGTTTGTCTGAATGTATCTCCAGAACAGCAACACGGACCGCGCTGAAATTCGCGGGCTACAGCTAGGTACATTAATGAAAAAAAAAACTTCAAAAACTATCAAACTATTCAGATGTTGATCCTTGTCTTTTTTGCGTAGAACAAAGTGGCGCTTGACGAAAAAGTTCGCATTAGTTTTGTATTAGCCTTGATTTTAACCGCACGCACTAATAGCTTGGAAAAACAGCAACAATTTGTTCCAATCCTTTGCAGTTCGCACAACAACCTATTACATTGAGCAAAGCTTTTTTTCTGTCAGTATTTGTATGGACAATTTTTTATGACAAAAGGAGGCAAACAATAAGTGACTAATTTTTTTGTAGCACGACTCTACCACGAAAATATTAGACAGACGTCTTTTACTATCTAGTTTAATACAACGAAGTATTGTTAATCTAAATAACTGTAAAATTATTCAAAGTTTTGCTTGCATTCACACAAAAACCGGAATTTATTTGCGTATAATTTCTTTTTATTTGCTTTATACGGTTAGCGTTTGAATTATTTGTTAGGCAAGTCTATGGAATGTTGATAGCGACATTTTTAAATACATATTATGTCGAGGCAAATAAAACATAAACTTTTAGAAATCACAAAATGACATTCTTAAATCTCTTATTACTAATATTATAAATGCGAATGTTTGGATGGAGAGACAGATACAGTTTATTGGGAGATATCTCCAGAACGGCTGCTTGGATCTGGGTCCCAATGACGAAAATTTGGCATACATCTACAACATAGTCTGGAGAACACATAAGCTACTTATTAAGTTTTTTTTTAATTTCGAGGGGACAGATTCGCGGGCGACGGCTAGCGATAAGAATGTCTGAAAATGACAAAATAATTAACAAACAAAACTTGTTCGTTTCATTAATCATGCATAGAGATAATAATTTCTTCATTAAAAACATACTGTATATTGTAATATTATTCTTTGCCTTAAGAAAGGAACTAGCAGAAACACCAAATTATGAGATATCAGACAATTGGCTTGCATTAACATAAGTAAGGTTATGGAATGTTTAATAGAAAATCCAAGATTTTCAAAATTTAATCAAGTTTAAATATTTTATAATTAAGGGGTAAATTTTACTAAGATTTTTATTAACACGTGTTACGATAAGATTAAATGTAGTTAGTATTATTGTAATGGTAGTTAAGTGAGGTTGTATAAAGTGGGCCGTTGGTATATGTCGCAAGGCAGGTCGCAGGACGTCATCGGTTGTGCAAAACTGAATGGAATTTCTAACAGACAGCGTTTGTTGGTTCCGAATATTTGTATTGTTTATACATATTACAGTGGATTTTCACTGTCGAAATATTTGTTAATAATCTTGAGAAATTATGGATACGAATATTTTTTGTGTTTTTTTTAATTATAGCAGATATTTTTTGTAAATTTACTAATCTTTCTTTTACCATTTCAACTAAGCTCTAGGCTTGTGCTAGGATATGGTTTACGACGATATTCGAATTGCGGGATTCGAACGCCCGACCTCGTGGATCGGAACGACGAGGCTAACGGCTATTGACGGTTAATATTACTATTTGTACATTGATTTTTTTTGTATGTTATAGTAAATGTTAAGCCTTAATTTTTATGTTTTAAAACTAAATTAATTTCCATTATTTATGATAAAATAATCATCCTGTATAATTCTTAAGTAAAGTAAAGATTATGTGCAAAATAATCTTAAAACACCATTTATCATGCTTTTCGTAAATGTCATTGAATTTCGAAATTCGAATTTTATTCATGCGATGGTATTCGACATATTGAGTTTTAACATTCGTGTAACTTTCATTTATGAAATAAACATTGGTGAAATGCTAACAGTTGTCATAATAATACCATGTCGTGCGATATTTAATTATACTTCAAGGTCTGGGTAGGTCATTTCTATACAAATTATACCGATCGATTTATAACTAACCCTTAACAGTCTCAACAAACTAAATACTTACTCCTAATCATATCAAAACAGACATACATCAAAAATTAGCTTCAGATGTATAATTGAAACAAAATAAATGTACCAAGCAGTAGACTTTTCTTATTCTAGGCTAGGACCAACTCCCATCATTATTTTTAATAAAATACATGAAAATCTATTTAAGATTTTAATTATTTTTTTATAATAAGAATGTACGTTAGAAAGAAAAGGTCGATGTCTCTATATATTCTCTCGCAGGAACTTATATTTTTTTTCTTGTTGTTGACTTGTTTTCTTATTTTCAGCTCTACAGCCATACGCGTGGGTGCTTTGGTCGAGTGGACTGGTAGTTCTTATATTACTATGGACAATATACGCCATCACATTAAGATCTGCTATCAAGAAACGAAGCGAATCCACAACAAATCTCGCTACCGTTTTGTCTGTTTACCCTGTAAGTATTAATAAGATACGTGTTAACCATGATTTTGAATCTTACGAATATTATAAAGGCGAATGTTTGGATGGATGGATGGATGAATGGATGTTTCTTATAAGGTATCTCCTAAGCGGTTCAACGGATTTTGATAAAATTTGGCACACATATAGAACATTGTCTGGAAGAACATATAGGCTAGTTATTAGGTTTTGTTAATTCCACGCGGACGGAGTCGTGGGTGACAGCTAGGTAAACATAAAATTGATCTCCTTGACCTTATTCTATGTGATATCGGCACAAGTTTTTGAACACCAAATTAGTCTATAATTTGTTATTTATTTTATCACTTCCTTTTTAATATGTTATTTTTCACGCGATCCATACTTCTTTGCTTTTTTTGAACAGTAAAATCATTTTGCTATTTACACTGTAAAGATATCGAAATGTTCCGTACGGACTTATATTTTTCATGATTTAAGGCGCGTTGATTTTTAACCTCCAAATATACAGTCTAGACACCCCCGTAACTCTAATTTAGAGGGAAGTAAATAAATAATTTCATTAGATTAATAATTTTCCATATCAATATTATGTTAACAAAAATATACTGTATTAGGTTATGTGTTATGGAAAAAACTACAAAGATTTAACTTTTAGTCTCATATATGCATAGCACGCAATTCTAAATGAGAATATCAATTAACACTCATTGCCTCCAATTAATAGTGACTAAGCAACACTTCTGTATATCAAAATAATGACGTGTAACAGAATAATAATAATATATTTCGATGACAAGTTATATTGCCTGTTTTATTAAAGGACTTTTTAAATTAAATGGGATGGATTGATTCGGTATAAAAACTTAGTACACCATATGTTCTTCAAGGCTATATTCATCTATGTCTAATTTTCATCGCGATCAATGCAGCCTTTTGGAGATACCTTCTTACAAACATCCATCCATCAACCTTTATAATATGTTAATTAATAAGACTACGGATCGGCAGTGCCCCTACCGAGTGTAACACGGCGAACCATATTTCTTTTCGATTTGAAGATATTCCGATTCGAAAGCACTATCGATTTTAGTCTTCGAAAAAAGTTAATAATTTCTTGTTAACGAATCTCACGAATAAGTACTACCTAAGTATCTATTCAAATGGTTTGCTCTTGACCAATATTCTAAGACATGAAAGTAATTAAGCAATTATCTTTTAATGACAAAGGCTATATCATTGTGTTATAAAGAACTTCTACACAGGTAATATGTAAAAAGTGTAGTTTTCTATCGTAATTTTTTTTAAGTTAATAAATATTATGCTATAACTTTGTATGGCTGAATTTTATTGACTACTATAGATATGTTTTGATACTGATTAAAGTTAATTTTTCTGATTTTACAAGTGGATAATGGATGTGACGCGCGTGAACCAAGATAACATAAAAGCTGTGCCCTCTTTTTCGTACTTCCACAGTATAATAATCATAATTGTGATTAGTCAAAAGAGATTTTGATTGCAGACATTGAATGACGTCATACGAATACGTCAGAACATATGATTACCACATTACTAGAGTATACTTACTCTTTGGATTACCATTTGAACTTATTCCTTTGTCGTGTAATTCCTCTTGGGAATGTGTATTTTTATTTAAATGTAATCGAGTGAAAATATTATAACATTACGAAATATAATTGCACAGATTAGTAGATAGATGTGATTGTTTTTAATTTTGCTCGTATTTTTTTAACTGTAGCCCACACTTTTTACACAAAAGACTTAGCTTACAGTAGTGTCGGTTTACAATGGATTTGTGTTCGAGACATTTTGTGTTCAAAACAGGAGTTATGTATACTAATGGGAGTCTGCTTTATTTTGTACATCAATTTATCTTTTTTTTGGAAATGATTCCAGCTTGTAGCGTCAGCAGCTTACATAGCAATAGTGGTGCCGCGAGCAACTCTGGTGGCAGAGGCTATAGCACAAGAGGTGGTAATGGTGGCACTATACCATTTCTTCTGCCTCATCATTGCGGAGTGCGGTGGCACCAGTCAATTCATCAGGTAAAAAAATTACCAAGAGATGGAACTTGGTCGGTTTATTGGATGAAACGTTAGTTATTTTTTAAACTGTTATCAGTATTTGCAACGTAAATTTGATAGTTTTAATTATTATTATGTTATCTATCTGTGTGCTACACTAATTTTTTTATATATTCTTGCGGAGGGAGTCGCGGGCGACAGCTAGTTTAGGATAAAAGGATAGATGGATGGATGTTTGTTCGATGATATCTCGAAAACGACTCAACGGATCTCCATGAAACTTTGCATTGGTGTAGAACATAATCTGGAAGAACACATAGGATTCTATTTTAGTTTTTTTTTGTATAATCCCGCTTAGACGGAGTCGCGGGCGACAGCTAGTGGTAATATAAAATCTTGTAAAAAATATGTTATAATACAATTTTTTTGTGGTAATTAAAGTTCAATGAAAAACTGTACTTCTTCGTATCGGCACAACAATTTTAGAATATTTTTTAAACTTCATTTGAAATGATTGAAAAACCTTGCCAGAATGAATGTGACCAACCTTGCTATTCTATTGAGATCTATTAAATTATGTAGCAATAGGTTTAATCAACCGTTACATTCTTTCCTCATTCTTAGGTCTTAATCTAAATTTCATTTTTTTTGGTCGATCTGAAAAAAAAAAGTTGAGCATTAAAATAGCACCTGCGCAAGTGCAATTTCGATTAGGGACTTTCTTTTTTTAATTCCTTTTTTAAATTAAATAGTTTTTGTAAAATGTTTTTATCTGTAAACTACGAGAATAGAACAAAAATAAATTGTAAGTTAACTGACATTGAATACTTAACTATCTGGAAACAAAGCAGTGGAAACTCAACGTTGTGTTCATGTTACAGACGCGCGGGAGACTCTCGCTTGGAGACCCGGGTGCTGCCGTGTTGCTGCTGGCCCTGCTGCATCATACCAAGACCGAAAATTGATAAGTACGCCATTATTAATAAATTTTACTTAACTTACTAATATTATGAATGTGAATATATGGATGTATGGATGAATGTTTGTTGGAAGGTATATCCAGAATAGCTGCATGGACTCGCTGAAATTTGGCAAATATATAGAACATAGTCTGGATATACACGTATGCTCCCTATTTCAGTTTTTTTTTCATTCCACACGCATGGAGTCGCTCGCGGGCGACATCCAGTTCTGTTATAAAAAGAACAGACGGAATAATAAAAAAATTGTATATAATATTAGAAATACGCAAGTTGCGGACGGTAAACCCACGTCTATAAACATTAATCAAGCTAAGTGCGATAAAATACGTTGTTTGTGGATGTTTACCCTCCTTTCCAATTTTGTGACCGACGACGTTTTAATTACGACAAATTGTGGCACTATTTGTTGTCCAAAAAATATAGTTTTATAGTCTTCACTCATAAAATATTGTTTGTTCTTTACAAGCTTTCATTTACTTTATGGCGCGAAAGTAAGCGACGCCGTGACGAATTTATAATGTTCTGATTGATGAATCAATCATTTTAATTAAATATTGACTTACCACCGAGTTAATGCATCAGCATCACCATACGTCCCACAGAGGGATTGGAGCCTACACTTTGTTGGGGCTGACATAGTCAACTACGCTGGCCCAGTGCGAGTTGGTTGACTTCACACATATCTTTGAATTTCTTCTCTAAAATGTGCAGGTTGCATCACGATGTTTTCCTTCACCTTAAGAATGCATAGGCACTACAAATTACTATGATCGTTTCTCATACAGTTTGTATAGTGGGATCGCAAACATAGATTGACGATGTATTCCATTGTTAACAGGAGGAGTTTAACTTGGCTGCGTTGCTTGGTGCTGCAAATACCCATTGTACAGGCGGTACTATACGTCATCATACTGGTGTTATGGGCAGAGGATATGGTAAAGTTAATCTTAAGTGATTATAACACTTTGTTTACATAAACATACAAATTGTTATATTTTAATTGTATTGACAGTTGTATAATTTAACAGACGAGCCCACAGCTTAGTAAAAAGACAAATGTTTCACGTATTATGGGCACTTCAAAGATTTCAAAATTAATTTGAAGTGCCAAGTTGAATTGCTTGCTAATTTGGTTCTGTTACTTTGTAATTTCAATTTTTTATGGTAGAAGGTGATTAATGAGTTAGTGGACATCTAAGTTCTCACAATTTGTCTCCAAACCTCTCTCTGGTGATATGTAGTGAGGTTATACCTACTCTACCACTGCCCATACTTAAGATCAAGTATTTTTTTAAACACAATATTGAAATTCTCGAAAGTAAATACGCGTGATATCTTATTTTAACATGTTCAAAGTATCTTTAATATTCTTGTGATATTTCGTGATTTTTTTTGGAAACCCCTTCGTTGCTCACATGATTAATCGTTGTAGTGATATAACTATTCTTCAATCAATTTAACCGTTGTTTTGTTTTAATTTCAGATGATTTACCGTCACGGGTTAGTTTACATCCAGATTTTCGTCGGTGCGTCCATACTGTCTGGTATCTGGGGTGTGATAATGTGTATTAGAGCGGCGAATGGTATCGGAGTTGTTCTTCGACCTAAATTCGTTGCGTTACAATTAGTCCTCATCATAGTAAAGTTGCAGTGCGGTTTGTCTAAACTGGTGTCAGATCTTGCAACGTTACCCTGCGTAATGTCGCTACATCCAACAGTCTTGGTCAATGGTAAGAAATGTTGAAATATCTTTATTATGTTTTTGCAATTGTAATCTATATATATAAAAATCAATTGCTGTTCGTTAGTCTCGCTAAAACTCGAGAACTGCTGAATTTATCTTATCTTGAAATGTGCGTGGAGGTAAAGGGAAGGTTTAAAAGGTAAGGAATAATAGGAATAATTGCCGGGGACTAATTAAGTTGGTTTTTCATTACACGCGGACAGAATTGCGGGCGACAGCTAGTTAACAAATAAAAATATAGTTTATTTTATTTTACAGTAACACAATACACAATAACAATATTCGAAATGTTACTCCTATCGATTTGGGCGTGGCGTCTATATGGTGCGGCTGAAACTAAATCTCTTAATAAAGTTCAAAAGGTCGTTGTCGCTGTTTTGGAGGAAGGCACAGGAGTTCTGGATGTCAAGCAAAGAAAAGAAGGTGTAGATAATAAATCTTTTAATATCACAGATAATAAATACGAAGGCAAAGTGTAATCTAGTTTTATTTTAATTTAGTTTTTGTATTGGTGTTTTTACGTAGAACAATAATGTCTTTGTAAGGCTTTGTACCAGTTTTGTACCAGTGACTCTGCATATTTTGGTAACGCATGAGTAAGTGTTGCTACTTAAAAAAATGTTATTTTATTGCTAGCTTCTATTTTACAGCGTCTGTTCCGAAGGAGTAGTTAAAAGTAATTTTTCTAAGTTCGCCTGTGTATTCAGTGACGTATTGATTAGATTTGATTTGAAATGTAGAAGTAAAAAAACTAGTAATTTTGTAACGATTGTTGTTTTGTGTTGTACAAAAAAGGAATTGTATCTTAGAATTAGATTTTATCTAAGTACGTCGAACGTAAATGTACCTGACTCTATTTTATGTGTTGTAGCTGTGAATGTTTGAAATCGAAAATAAAATATTGAAATCACGGTATTGTTAATTTATTTTTTTATTGGTTACTGTAATTTTATTTTAGTATTAGAAGTATTACAGTATAAATGACCCCGAGATTTATTAGGTAATTTGAAATATTTTAGGCGTAATGTATTTTGTAGTTCATTCTCCCTTAAGGTTCAAAGAAAAATAAGCATGACAAAGACAATTTTAATATTTTAACAATTAAATACAAATAAAATAAATATAATTTAATAAAATATATATTCAAATTTCGTTACCAAACAATTAAATAAGAAAATATATAAATTTACTATACGCGTTAAATAATTTATTACTTTTCGTTTTCTTTCTCATGACTGCTACCCTGCGAATCGTCTTCGTTGTCTTCGGATGGTGTTCCAGCACGTGATGTTTCAGAACCGTATATATTATGTAGTTCCTGCAACTTGTAGTTGATTTTAACACCTTTTGTAGCTGTTTTATTAACCCTTTTTACCAAAGATTTTGTTTGTTCTTCCAATCTTTTTAGTCTCTCATCTCGAGCCGCGAACATTGCCTCGTGATCCACTTCAGATGTGAATGCTTCTGGTTTGTTTTCAAAAGGTTCCGTAGAACTTTCTCGACTCTTAGTTGCAGATCCACTGGGCTGAGTTTTACCTGATTTGGTGGATTCCTCATGTAGAGTATGTAATTTATCTGAAAGTGAATCACCCGTTTGAAGAGTATTTGTTATACTCTGGATTACATCAGAACATCCACTTTCTAAATTTTGGAGCCTCTGATCTTTTTTTACGAGACGTTCATCCTGTTTTTTAATGTTTTCTAAGATTGCCTTAAAATCAATACAAGGCTCAGAAGACGCCGAGGTATCTCTGATATCGCATACGGATGGATTTGAGGCAGTTTCAGTTTTTTCTAAGTCGCTTGATGAAACTTCGTTTAGATTTAGCTCGTGTGCTTTGTCTGTAAGTAAATTTGTTTGATGGTTCTCATTATTAGTTTGTCCTAATAAATTTGCCTGTTTTTCTTCAAAGCTATTACTGTCGTGTTGACTTGACGTGGAAGGACCGCTTAAATGATTTACTGGACTTTTTAATTGCTCATCATTATTAGATGTCAATTCAGTGCGTTTCGGAAGTGAGATCTTTTCTTGGGTCTCTAGCCTTTCATTTTGTTCTGTGTCATTATTTAACATGGAACTTTCAGTTGTTTTATCAAGTGTATCATTCTTTGCTACTAATAATTCAGCACTTGTGGCTTTATCGATACTAACTACGTTTTCGGAGTCATCGTCACAAGATTGATTGTCATTACCATGTTCTGCCATAGAAATTTCTTCTATACAAGAATCAATAGCAATGTCACCTACTTCGTCTTCTGTTTCTGCATATATTTTTTCACATTCCTCCAAGTGTATAGAGGTATCAGATACTTCTATAGGTCCTGGCTCCTGATTATCCAAGGGTAGATCAGCGACATCTAACATATCACTGGCAGGGTCTTCTCTTTCTGCTGCTAAATTAAAGTCTGCGCTTGAATCCACTCCTACTTCTATTGACTTCTTTATTTTCTTTCTACATCTTACTTGTGGTTCCTTAATATATTCGCTCTCATCATTTGACTCGGAAGATTCATCGGAAGGTCTTTCATCGCTGTATCCACTTTCAGCAGAATTATTAATAAACGTCGAGGCGGATTTAGTTTTACGACTAGAGAACTCGGCTCGAAGCTTTTTCCAGTCATTTTCAGACTGAGAATTTTTCTCTCGGGCTTGCTTCCACTTTTCACGACAATATTCTAGTTCTTCCTTAAGTTCGTTCAGTAATTTTCGTTTTTGTTGTAACTCGTACTTAAGTATTTTTTCGTGGGTGTGTAATTGATGGTGGTGTTTCCTCAAACGGCCTACTACATGCCACGTTTTGCTTAATTCTGTGGTCACGAGACATAATCTTCGTTCTTGTTCTTGTAAGCGAGTTTCTAAGTGGCCATTTAGTTGTTTCATTCGGTTAACTTCTTTAATTAAACCAAGCTTTTCAATAATTAAATCCTGAAACAAAGACAAAGCATTATTTTGATTAAATATGCGAACACCAACGTTCTTGTGTAATGAAAGTGATAAGAAAGCTGGCAGTACTCGTGTTGTTTTTTAAAAATTGCACGAAAATTTGGTTCACTGCCAACTCTTATAATAGATTCGCTCTTTTTTGTATGAGAAATGCAAAAGGTTGCTCATGAACGTATTTCGGTTCAATTATATTATTCATTGTTGAATCATTGATCGTTATAACATTTGAGGAAAATTAAGTGTAAACAACAGTACAAATTTACCTTTAATCTTATGTAGGTTTGGCTAACACTCGGCACTAATACGGGTCCTGATTTCGTTTCCACTGATTTATAGCAAGACGAAACTTTAACATCGTCATTTGATTGTGGTTCACTTTGATGACTCAAGAGCTCAATGAGTACTCTCCAAACTTTAGGAAGATTTTGTACAATTTCTTCTGCCTTGGGATTTTCGACACTTTGAGTACCTATAACAAAAATGTTTTTTGAACAATGCGTCTTTACTAATTTCGTTAGCAATTTATGATATATGAAAATTACCTGATTCCATTTGAATGTCTTCGTTGACAGTTTCTTCATCGGTATTTACTGATATTTCGGTTTGTTTACTTTCATCAGATTCCTCAACTTGACTGACCAGTTGCAGCAGTAGTTTGGGCAATGCTGATGATGCTTCAGATCCATTCTCTTGTTCTGCCATTTGTGTGAGGATTCCGTGATTCTCTTCTAGACGATTGACAAGCTTATCTAAATCTTGTTTACTTTTGTATCCTAGAAGAACTTGGGAGAACAGCTGGAACATTGAATTTTTTCAAATAAGTAAATTAAGATATTGCAAAACTAATATAAATATTAAGCGAAAGAAACTTTACCTTATTGACTACATCCATTTCTGCTTTAAGACCGTATGTTTCGTTCTTTAAAGAAGCTATCTCGTTTATTTTCTCTTCGATCTGCTGTTCTAATGTATTAACAGTAGACTCAAGTTCCTCTACTTTTACAGACAAATCTTGACATCTGAAAAAAAGTTAAAGCAAATTTACGTCATATTATTCTTCAGGAATTCTATTTTGAAGATCTTGCAATTTTAATAAAACTATTTTTTTTAAGTTAAATTGTAATATTATTTAATCTGCTTTGTTTAAAGTCAGAGTAGGTTAAGTATAAGATAATGAGCATAAGTGTGTGCCATCAAGCTGCTCTGGCAACTTTTTAAAATGTTTGATATGTATGTTTTTAAAATCTTACTAATATTATAAATGCGAATATTTAGATGGATGGATGGATGTTTGTTTGAAGGTATCTCTGAAACGGCTGCATGGATCTCCCTGAAATTAAATGTAGTTGTAGAGGCGCGGGCGACAGCCAGTAAATAAATAAAAACAATATCTACTATAGAAAACATGCAAAGATAAAGGAACACACTTTTTAACTTCTGCCTGGTGCAACTCTTTTTGTTCTTGAAGATCTCTAGATAGAGCTTGCCTAGTCACTTCAGCTAATCGTGCCCTTTCTTCGTAGAGGCCTCGCAATGTACGGATATTTTGTAGTTGACGTTCATATTCCTGTCTTAAATCTGCGGACAGCATATGTGTCTCTCTATCAGCAAGTGACTGCTCTATTTCTTTTAATTTCTTCTTCAACTAAAAAAAAATAATGCGTAAATATCTGACGACGTGTTTAGTCATTTTGATGTTAAGACGTATTGTTTATGAAGCACATTGTATCGTCTGGCTGAATGACAAAATTCTTTGCCAAACGCATTTATAATGACGCGTTCAATGCGTTGTAGTGGTTTTTGACCGGTGATGGAACTTTTCTTGATCAATTAAAGATCTCATTATGAGAAGTAAAAAAAAATTAACTGTTGGTAATGGATTGTAAGGGAATTCTAATTTAAAGAGAAAAGAAAAAAATAAATATGGAATGTGGTATGGGGAAAATTCTAATTCTTCGTTTTTACATATTATAGATAATGTTCAGGAATTAAGTTCCCTTTCTAATAATGAAATGGTCATAACAACAGATGGTTAGGTTAAATATTAAAGTGTTGAAGGAATTTTGGAGACGGATAACTTAATAATACACAGACAATAAAAATGTTTCGTCTCAATCTTGGGAATGTTGACGTAAGTAATATTGTGAAATATTGGTTCAAAGCATATTTTTGAAAAAAATGTCTCTTATCTAATTTACACTTACCTCATTCAACTGTTCTTCTCGCAAGTTGATCATAGTTTTACTGACAGTTATAACTTCTTTGAGTGATTTAATTTGTTTAAAAGATTCCGTATTCTGTGCGCTTAGTTCTGTCATATCGGAATAAGCATTTTGTAAAGCATTATTTGTCATAGCTAGCTGCACTCTTAATTTGTTGTTATTAGATTTTATTTTTTCTAACTCGTCTTTCATTTGCAAAACAGTTTCTCCAATATTTATATTTTCATTACGAGCATCGATGTCTTCAGGTATATCGATATTGTTTTTATTCAACAACTCACGTAGAAATTTATTTTGTTCCGCAAGTTCTATTTTTAAAATGATTTCATTCTTTAAAGATTTTTCCAATTCTTTCTTTTCGTTTCTATGTCTTGATAATATTTCTCTTCTTTGTTCACGTTTTATACTTAATTGTTTTCTAAATTCGTTCATCTCATCTTCTTTCCTTTTAGCACGACTGTCGTCATCGCTGTCTGTATCACGTAAATTTTCTCCATTGTTTTTATCACCGGTTTCAATAATATCTTCCATTATCTCAGGATCACTATTGATTTTATCACTCGTGACTGATGCGCTCTCTCCTGTCGGAGCACCACTGAATATATTTCCCATTTTGGAATACTTTTATAAGGAACTCGCGATTTTAATACAGGCAATGACCGATGTACATACTTTTATCAAGACAAAGAACCGATCGCTTGGATAAGTAGAAGCATGAGGCCGCGATCCCGAAATAGATTCCCCGTCAGCACCAGACGTGTTCCAACGTTTAGAGTTCGTTCAGTATTGCCGAACGAGCGCTCCTTTCCTACTAACGTCTGTCAATTATTTATTTTTAACTAGTTATTTCAGACTTGTGTGTTCTGTTCCCCTAATATTCTGCTTGTCTACGTCTTTATTTTAATAAATGAAGGCTATTGAAACGAATAAAGATACTAATTTATCAGTTTAGTCGTAGTTTGATTTGGCATAGCATTTTTTTATGTTTTAATGCTCTTGAGAAAAGGAAATATCTCTTTTTGTGATTATTTGCTATCGTTAAGTTTTTACTCGATAGATATACAGATATTAAATTATTTTAGATCTAAATTAATAAACAAAAATTCTGCTGAGAATCATAATTGTCATTGGAAGAGACTTCTTGTTTGGGAAAATTAATTCAAAGCTTTGCTACAAAGACAACATTTTAGTATCCACGTGGTTCTAAGATTCACAACCAAACTATTGGTTGTACTAGTATTTTTTTATAATCTAGATATATTATATCATATTTATTATGTTATATTCCATTTCTATAATATGGGGTAGAGTCTGTGCGCTGCAATTGAAACATTTAACAAAAATAAACGATATGTTTCTAATCAACTTACAAAATTGTCGTAATTTTTTCTACAGGCGTATAATTTTTATGGTAACGTTGTTTATTCTAACATGCTTCTATGGAATCGTTAAAAAAATTGATGGAATCGTAAATAATAAATCCTGTTTCACTATTGATTACCGCTTTTATTATAATATTACGTATCATGATATTATTTTAATGTCTAATGAAACAAGAACAATTTTTACAAACATTCTACAAATATAAGTTGTGGTTACAAAACAATTAGCTTAAGATTTATTTTTTTAAACAACACTTCCGATGTTTTATCTAAACATCAAAGTATAAAGAATTTATAATCTGTGTTCAACATCCAAAGAACCACAGATAAATTGAATTTTTTTATAAATGTAAACGTCAATAATGTCAATTACGTTACGAATATGTTACGGCTGGGCGACAAGTTGCATACCAAATCTTAATCGTTTTGGAAAATACCAGTTTAATTAATACGTTTACATAATATAAAATATATTAAAGTGATGTTAATAGAAAATTAATTGTTATTTGGTGTGAAATTTAACAGAAACTAAGCACACTGTGTTCAAAGTAAATATTTCAAGCTGTTTCAAGATTGATTTTTTATTTTGTTTATCCCAAAGTGGCTTATTGATAAAATTGCTAATAATTATCACATCTCGTCTGACGTGGCTCGTTGTTGACAACAATTTGGATATGTGAAATGTGAATTAGGAAAAATTGAGTGATGGATGAAAGCAATCGTAAATCTCCTTGTAAGGTAAAATATTGTTGAAATATAATCATTAAAAATACCAAAAAATCACAAACGAAATATTGTTTCTATGTTTATTTAATAACATTATTATATTACATGAAACCTTTAGTAAACTTTTCCTGTTTCTAATATAATTTGAATACTAAATTGAGTTTTGTATTTTATTTTTTAATTTACATACTCTGAAATACGCACGTTTAAAATAGAGATAGTTCACAGCTCATTAAAAAGAAATCTTTTATAATACATTGGCTAGACCATAGTTATATTTATTTTTTGGCTCTAGACTCTTTGGTAATGCACTGTGCTTTTCTTTTATAATTTGCTCCATTTATTTGTTTTATCGATCATCACATAGTCTATATAATTCCTGTTTATATCATACCTTTAAAATGACATTCCACATGCTTGTTATTGATTGTTTTGATGTTGCACCGTAATCAATAGGAATGCAACAGTGCGGGTGAGGCACAGTTGCATGCAGAAGTGGCAAACCTTCGGCAACATGTTGCAGAAAAAGATGCGCACATTGTAGGTATTGAAGCGGAGTTTGTAAAGTGCACCGCTAGAGCTGATGATTTAGAGGAGCAGGTCGACACCTGGAGAGAGAAGTATGAAAGGTAAGATATTTTGTTTTACTAGTATAACTATCTACTCAGCCGGCCAGTATTCACTGCTGGACATATGCGGCATAGATTGCCACTGTGTCTAGTCCTTTACCACCTTCATCCACATACTCCTATAAACTTGAGAGGGTTGAAAAGTAAGAAAATGAACAAGAATACGTTTTTGACACTCCTATTTAATGTATGATCATAGAATATTTTATTTAAGTGCTTAAATATAACTTAATTATGTTTTAAAAATACTTTAATGTTTTGAAAATTACTTTGTAAAAAATGTATTTTGAGTGTAAACAATTAATTTGAGATTAACCATTATTAATTTTAAATGTTTTAACAGTTAACAGAACAGTAATTGGTAATTATTCACCAACAATCTTTTGATAAGGATGTAATAAAATAGTTCTATTTAAATACATATATTAAAGAGATATTCTATTCAAGTTAAATAGAAGCTATTCAACAATGCTATATTTTGAAAAATATTATTAAATAACTCTCTCGTTATTCTCATAATTGTCTTTAATGGATTTAAAACAATCCTTAGATCTTTTAGATGGCATAGATTTAGAACATAGTCTGGAAGAACATGAACACTATTAAGTTTTTTTTTTAAATACACATAGGTGGAGGCACAGCAATTCTCATAATTGTTTATAGTGAATTAAAACAATCTTTACATCAGTGGTTCCCAAACTTATTTTGTCTAATGCCCACTTTGAGAATAAATATTTTTTAGCGCCCCCATATTTAACATATTTAAAAACCACTATAACTACAAATTAAATTAATTAATTATTGTGACCTATAAATGTATATTAACGGAGAATTCTAAACGAAACTTTTACTATAACCCGCAACTTGAAACCTGCAGCGCCCACAAGGGGGCGTTATCGTCCACTTTGGGAAAGACTGCTTTAGATCTTTTGATGCTTAAAATCATGTCTTTATTGTCATAAAGAACAAATATTTCATAATAAAATACATAAAAATCCATGTATGTGTTTTACATTTTAACAAGTTAAATTAATTAATAATATTGGTAATAACACAATAATGATTTTGTGATTTAAAGTAATAATACATCTTTGTATATCACAGACTTTGAGCTTAAATAGATGGTTACAAAAAGCATTACTAAATTACTTTCATATTAATAATATTTAAGAGAAAACTTTCAGACTGTATGACTCACATAAAAGAGTACAGAAATTAAATCAAGTATTGGAAGACAAGTTGCTGCAGATGGTTGACAAGATGAAGAGTGAAAAGAGTCAGTTGACAAAAGATATTGCTACACTTTCTGTCAGATTAGCCGAGTCTAAGCATAACTACAGTATGCTCCAAAAAGAAAATGTAAGTTGACTTTTTTTATTATACAATTTTGTAATTCATCATGATCAACCTGCCCTTATCCCTATCTAGGGTCGGCACAGTATGTACTACTCCTCTATACATCTCTAACAGCCGTCATATTCGACTCTACCCCCTTCTTATGCATATCCTCTTTACAATTTTGTAATTATTAAACGATTTTAAAAGTTAAAGTTGTTATTAACCGTGGTTCTCTGACACCAAAATTACTATAAAAAGTATTGTATCATATACAATATCTTTGACAAAACAGAGGTAACAAGATTTAAATGGAGATTTAGATTTTAGAAACCCACCGTAAATTGTTCATTTAATGTAAGTGATTATGAAATAACAAATTGAATTATGATGATGAAATGTAAAACACCTGAAGTCCTTTTTATCTGCTTTTCAATTATTTCATATTACTTTTTATTTAATTTGGTAAACATTATACTTAGATTTTAGTCTAATAAACTATTGACATTGCATCCTCGTTTCATTACAGGAAAGGTACAAAAATGATATGAACTTAGCTATCCAGTTGCTACAATGCAAACCTGACAATTTTGTGTCTCAAAAACTTGATAATGTAAGTTATTTTTTTTATATTATAATAGAAACATTTGACTTTATATTTTAAAACAATTATTTATATTTTAAAAGGACAATAAATGAGTTTATATTCACAAATTTACAGCTCCCCGTCGACACTCAAGCAAGAGTATCCCAATATGTTATGTCTAAAACATCGAAACCTTCAGGTTCTAGCCAATCTAAAACTGGCAATGATTTGGATACATTTGATGCTAGCGAATATGAATTCAATATATCCGCTTCTCTTATGTCTAAAATACTAGAAGATAGCATCCAAGATACTCTTACAAAGCATTGTGATACTTGCACATGTACTAAGTCACAAAGCAAACCATTCTGTTACAATGAAAGTTACTATTCAGTGTCTACACAAACATTATTGACGGGTGAAATGAAGAATTCACTATGTTTGAACTGCAACTCTGAGATAAAGTCTTTGAAATCAAACGTAAGCATGAGGAGTGTTTCGCCTCATGGTATTAAACTTTTAAACGAAAAGACTAATCTTGCAATTGGCAACATGTATATATTGCCACAAACAGCAAATATAATCACTGAAAGTAATAAAAATTTGATAGAAAAACCTATTACTAATCTTATTGAAACCACACAATCTCCGATTGAAACAAATCCAATAGTTTGTAACATAGAAAAAGAGGCAATTAAAGAGATAGAAGAAGAATTAAAACAAATAAAGAAGAATAACATGAATATGGAACCATCAGTGCATCATAAGCTTTGCGATAGAACGAAAACTTCGATTTCTAGCAAGAAAAGTAGTGTTCATAGCATAGGTAATGAAGATTTACTTCAAAACAAAGCTATTGATAAAGATGCTAAATTAAACAGCCAAGTACAAGTAGCTGAGACTAGCAGTTTGCGAAAAAATTCTCTAAGTTCTATGGGAGGAATCAGTCGAACGTCTTCTGTGGCAAAGTCTACAGTTAGCACACACAAATCCAACACTCAAGTCGGTCCTGGCCCGAGATTCTGTCACTTACGTATGCAGGCTGGGTCCAAAAATATACTGTTAGATAACGCGGAACCTGATGTCCCTCCCGTATTGTATAGGCGACAAAGCAAATGTACCGAAAATTCTATTTTCAAAGATTTAAATGATGGAATGGAAAATTTTATAGATTTAGTGAAAACAGACGATGATTACAAAACTGGAATAAATAATGAAAGTGTTGTAGTTGAAACAACTCTTATCGATGTTCACGTGGATAATAATAATAAAGATTCTGAAAGTTCCATTAAAGCAAATTCTATTAATCCTATTCTATTAAATGTGTCTTCTTCACCGTTGCAACCTTTGAAAACACATAATTTCTCTAATAGCTCTGAGCACAATAATAATAATAATACCCAAAGTATCACCAGCCAACAAAATCAAAACGATATCGATAATCTATTGAACGATTTTAACGTAGACACCGCAATGCAAAATAACAATGCAGAAATAACGACAGACAAAAAATTTGATTACGTAAACAACACTGATAATCAGGACATAAAAATATTTAATTTCGATCATTATGAACAAACTAAAGCCGGTCAATTCTCGAAACAGCTTAAAAAAATTGACATGTCTCAACTTCATTCCATTGAAAAAACAAAGATATCCAAAGATTACCCACCTATAGGATCGAGTTTCGATAAAAAAGATCAAGTAAATGTTAAACAACAAAAATCATCATTACCAGCTATTGTCAATGTTTATCCCAATTTGACGCAAACTCATTTAAAAGTTAACGAAAGTACCAAAGTATTTACAAACGAACAGAGTACTAGTTCTTTATCTAGCGACGATAGTGCAGCGTTATTACAAAAGCAACAATTGCTCAGAGTTGCGGAATGGGTCGAGAAAAATTTGGAACAACAGAACAGTTTTAACGATCCATTAGAGGAAGAATGCAGCTTTGTTAATCGGAATATCAGAAGAGATAGTAAACTGAGTAGACTGACTGAGACATTGAACGAACTTGCATTAAATATGCCTCATCCTGTGAGCAAATTTTCCAAATCATATACAAGAGATCACAACAGTTGGATTCATAATACAAATCAAAATACTAACCAAGATAAAGAAACAAAAGTGACAAAAATAACTGGCAATGTTGTTAAGGAAACTATATTTCCAGTAGAAAGTGGAGATGTGACGGTAACTGAAATTAATGTGGGTAGTACGGAAAGAGATGACAATTATAACATGGGAAATGAATTAGCAGGGGCTTTGAAATCTAAAGATAAAGAGATATCGCCCGAAGATTTGGCAAGAATGGAATATAACGTGAAAAAGTTTTTATTGAGCGGCCCACATTGGGCGAATCCGGCCTCAGTCGGTAGAAGTCGACGAACGAGCAGCAAAACCGAGACTGACGTATAACATTCCAATAAGAAAATATATAAAAGGCTAACTTATTCCCTGATTCTGTCAGTATTTATAAGAGCTTTTCTTTAAATCAGTTAATTGCTTACATTTGAGGCTACGTGTGCAAAGTATATTTGTGTATCTCGCTTTAAGAGAGGGTAACTCTTAAAATTTATATCTTGAAATGGACTGATGTTAGATATAAGTGGGATTTAAGGTTAATGCTAAAGATTTTTGCTATACAATTAACTTTCACTTTTGATGATAGATAGCTGCAAAAGCATTTAATAGGCCCGTTTTTATACATCTCATATCCTAATTTAGGTGACAAAATTCTAAACATCACGGAACAATATCAGATAACATTACACGTCAAATATTTGTTCAGAAGATTAAAAAAAAAAGTGTTGTTATTTTTTTTTAACTCGTAACGGGCCATTTTGATTATACATTATAACAATATGTACCTAAATATAGATATAATTTTTTGTTTTTTTTTTTATTTTATATTTTTATCGAATTTAAGCCCTAGTCAAATATTTTGATATTATTTATGAATATCATAACTTTTGATAATTTACTTATTACACACTATATTTACGCAAACCCAAAAGCTGCCACTTGCAAAGATATTATAGATATAGATTAGGATCGCAATATATAAAAAAAAAAACAAAGTATGAGATTTGACAAATATGCATTCAAGTTTCTAATAATGTGATAAATACAAAGTATAAACTAGCTTTCACTTGTGTACAAAATTGTTTAAGCACATATTCTATTCAGCAGCTAACGTAATTAAATAAACGTAAAGTTTTTTTGTCAAATGTATTCCAAAGTATTTTAACTCATTCCACATAGATACGGCTAAGTACGGAATCCGTCGATTTAAAGTTAGTACTAAATATATTTTCAATTTAGTAATAAGTTATTTACTGCTATGCATTTGTAATTTTATGTGATAAAAGCTGATATTTTAAATTCTTTATCCATACATATCTTTCAAAGTTTTTCGAAATATGGCGATATTTATATATTTCTGTTTAGTTTATATAAAATGAGAGAGAGAGAGAGAGATGTACAAAAAATGACATTTCCCTTTTTCTATACGTCCGTATTCTACGTCAAATACACCTCCCCTTCTTGTGCTTACCGCTTATCTTAATATAAAAGGGAAGGAAGGGTAAAAGACCTAGTTTTTGGCCACTGGTACCACTGTCATCAGACCAAGAAACTTATCAGTTTTTATTACGTAAACTTACCGAACTGTGCTTTTGCTACGTCTGCTAAACAAAACGTGTGTGCAAAATTATATGTCCTCTTGAACGGAATATATTTTTAAATATAGATAGGTTAATTGAAATGATAGTACGTATGGAATGCAAAGCTAATTTTGGTGTGTATTTATAATGTTAAATTCTTGCACAATTTTATGTCTTAATGTTAGTGATCGTGTCCGCAAGTATGTCAGGGGTGTCCAAACTTTATAATTATTAATTTAATATAACTTACTTTTAGTCAGTTTTACACTGTACCTGGGGTTGAGAATTTCTTAATGAGTTAAATCAAGCCTTTGTAACATTATCGTTCAAGTAAATTTAAATAAACCATAATTGGTAAAGTCAATGATCAAGTCAAGACCCTCGTTGGACACCTCTGGCATATATGAAGCATATTTCGTATGATAGAAAAAAATGTGAAACAAATTAAGTTTATCACATATTTGTGATAGTTTTTTTATTCTTAAAATTATGTACTACTTGTGACAATATTTTGTGATGTAATTGTATTTATTTCTTTATCGATTATTGTGTTTTTAAACATTGTTAATTTTTGTATTGTGATTATATGTCATAGATCTGCTTCCCGAAGTGTAAGAAAGCTAGGGCTGGCCCTGTGTAATGAAGCTTCAGCGGCGTACATTGTAAACGTGTTTATTTATTAAATACATGGTGACGTATTTTTCATTTTATTTTCAGCTACCCTACAAAAGTAGTAGGTTGTGTTCTGGGTGTTTAGCAGGAAAGTGTGCGAGAAAGTATTCGTAACCTTATCGACAAAATTTGTATTAGATTCGTGCCCCTCACGCGCATAAAATACAACAAGAAATCCCATACTTTTGAGAGATTTTGTAGTTGACGTTACAAATACTTTCTTAAAAAAATCGTCTTAGGTCCGCTGTGCAACTTCTCCATACCGAAGAGTTTGATTGCCTAGACATTTGTGATAAGACATCAATATATTTTAGGCTCTGTTTTGTTGGAAAGAATGAAAGGGATGGCAATATATTGAGTGAATCCGAGTCACTTATAAAGTTTGCATGGCTCTATAAGTGCCATATAGAGTTAACAAGTGAACAGTAGCAAATGGAAGTAGCATCAGCGCATGTAATGATATGTAGTAGCTAATATGTAGGGCTTATCTCTCTTGTACGATATCTAAGACCTTCGCGTTTCCAAAATCGTTTCAACTGAGAGGCTATTGTTCGCTCGGCCTTGTGACTCGACCCATTGTTCGAAGCTTCAATATTCGCCTTAACATAAAATTTCACCTTGAAAGAATTATTAACACATGCAATTGTTTTTTTTTTTATCTTGTGCAGCAGGTACACGAACTTTAATCTTGGATTCCTGTTTTTGCATTGTTTGTGCCTTGTATGATTATTTTTGAATCACGGTATCTAAAGAACACGATGACTGTATGATAATATTAAATTCCTAATGCCTTTATTATTTGATATCATTATCGAATATTGCGAGTCGATTTTTTATGATGTTTAACCAGTATACCAATAAATATAACAATAAAATACAACACTGGATATATTCAACTACCCTACTGTAGTTCTTACTTTCAACTATTAAGGTCTTACGACGGTGAGGTTATTTTTCTTACAATATGTGTTATGATAGTGTTCCAATTGTCTCGTATATTTTCAAATATTGCACGGTGTGTACAAAGTTATGTCGCTCGTCACAATGCCGCGGCAAATCGCTTCTCACTTGTTCATGCCAATCATGAATAGGATAACCATTAATTTCATGTTTAGATGGACTTAGTGTTGATTGTAATAGTTAACCGTTTTGCTAATACAACGACTAGAACAATTATTTAAAACCCTACCAAATTCCAGGTCCTGTCGTAGTAGCCGTAAAGGTTGATACTGTATCTGCAAGTCGAAAAACATAAGAACTTTCCAAAGAAAAATATAAATCTATTAGGGTGACGATATAATGGTCTCTCCTAAAATCATTAGTGTGGTTACCCTAGCATGAAGTCGAAGTGAATGACCATGAAATTAGAATCACACGACAGGTGGTCAGCCCTTGATATTGTGATCTAGACACCGGCAATTATTTGATCCTGCCACGCTCCGCAGCATCAGCGAAGTATGCCTATAAACAATTACATTTCGTTTAGTCTACCTTTATGATGCTACGTAGCTAATCCGAAAAGAGCTAGGTATTAGACTATCGTTTAAAATGAAGGTAGGATTTTAAATTATCTACTACATTGTCTTTCTTCTACCCACATTAATTTGAAAGATGCGAAAGCTATGAATTTACTTGATAATAAATACGCATATCCATAGATTAATTTAAATCATTCGTTTCACTCAGTGATTTCTAAATTGTTAGCAAAAGATGATGTTTTACAATACTTTTTATTATGTACGGTGTTGGTTTTAACACGGTCAATAAGAAAGAAATCAATAAGCGGCCTAAATTTTTGGTAACCACAGAAAAAAAGGTAGGTACGTACGTCTGTGTAGACGTTTTATTTTATTGTCCGCGAGATTTGACGACGTTAGAATTCACAAGAATTGAACACGATCAGTGCCACTAATTCACTGGGCGAGTTTACTTTGATATAAAGAAATCGTAGTGGCGTTAAATGTGTTACAAAAAATTATTCTATTGACGAGATATAATATGTCGTCTCTTTACCACAATTCAAAGTTAATTGATTTATCGGGTAGATGGCTTACATTGAGGGGTCGATTGAAACTTTTCAATGTTCATTTCCTGCATGTTTCTTTCCAATAAATTGAAAAAAGAAATAGCGAATAATTATTGCCTTAGTTGGGAACAACTTGACCGTCTGCAACTTGGTCAAGTGAATAAAATAAAAATTTCACGGAAACTCAATCGAATCTTAATCGAGCTTTTAATGATTGGTCGCTTAGTTTGATTTGAAATCAACTCTAGCATTAGATAGGGTCTACTTCGTTTGTTTAACTGTAGGTAGGTTAATATTTATACAAGTCGTCACTTTAGTCTTGCTATGCTTGCCTCTGATGGCTTACTATGATTTTGTAGTACCTTGATTTTCATTTAATTTGAAACTTCTTCAGCTTCTTAAATTCAACAATAGTTTGCAAGAAAAGCTATTTAAATTGACAATTTTGAATACAATATTTTAGTTTTTTTAAAACAATGTATACTAAGTCAAAACTTTGAATTTACATAAGTCGTGCAAGAATGTTTTGTCATGGTCTGACTCATTTGATAATGGTGGTTACAAAAACGTAAAGTACAGGATTATACGAGTACATAACATTTATGTGATAACATTGTGCGTGATATTTAAACACGTTCTTGGAAAATTCAATGTAACAACGTGTTATATTAAGCATGTAGGGCGGTTTTGGTCAATTTCTCACGGTCACCAACAACGGCAGGAATAATTTTGGAAAATAATATTATAAACCGTTGCCATAACTGCACTGGTAGAATTATTGTCGAAAACATGCTATGTCTCGGGATTGTATGGATTAGTAGCACTTTCAATAAAGTGCACCCGTTAGCGAATGTTAGCTGTCGACACGCACGCTATTCGTAACGTTTTTACGACCTTATAACTATTATGTCCGTTCTAAAACTGTAACATCTATAACATATCGTCTAACGAACGAAACTTAAACGATTCATGGCCATGAAATTCTTATTATGTCAGAATATTGTATAAAAACTGTAACTTCGCTGATTTGCTCTTGATCTGCGGCTTTTACTTTAATTGGGAAGTACAGCCTTGTCAATCAATTCGTTAACTAAACTTCTTATTCATTGGATCCCGTTGCACCAGAATTTATTCTTCGAATCGTTTTAATCGAATCTCTTCAGTTGATTTTAGAATAAGTAAGGTCAGTGCAAAATTAATTCGTATGGAATAACGTATCAATAATCTATAGTCTGTATGATGAAAAACCTAAAAATCTAAAGGACACTTAGAATTTCGATTACTGTAGTCAAATTAGAAAAATTAACATTACTAAAAAAGAAAAGATTACTCGAAAGAAAACAAGAAAAGAACGCATACAAAATCGCAGGCCACATCTAGTAAAAACGTATAGAAAGTTAGTTGCTATGCACTTGTTTAGACCTTTTAATTGCATGAAGATATGTCATCAACCTACCACAACGGTAACCGCGTGCTGTGATTGCTCTACGTTGTCTTGTATCGTGATGTAAGATTTGGGGACGGCTACGTGTTTTGTATGTGATGACGTCACGTAATCGTGTGAACAGTTATAGTAGATTTAGGAGCTATTATTTTCGCTACGTAACTTACTGTTATAATGTTTGTATCTCAACATGTTGCTGTGTTAAAGAAAACACAATAGTTCATTAATAGATAGAGATTTAATAATATAATTTGAGCGTCAGTGGTCAAGCACTTGACTTGCAATCTGCAGGTCCTGGGTTCGAATCCCGCCATGTGCCAATGTGTTTTTCGATTTCCGATTTACATATGTACATTTATCCGACGTTCTTACGGTAAAGGAAAACATCGTGATGCAACCTGCACATATCTGAGAAGAAATTCAAAGATATGTGTGAAGTCAACCAACCCGCACTTGCCTATGTCCTAGTCACCCTTAACTTAGGGTAGGCTCCGAGCCCCTCGGTGGGGACGTATAGTGAGCTGATGATGATGATGAATATAATTTAGATAAGTTTTAAGGCGAAGTTTTTCCTTACTTTTTCTCATTTTAATGTAACTTAAGTAAAATTGGAAATATAGACAAAATAAACATTAGTATTGACTGTGGAATTTCTTGTATTCGGAATTAGAAATGGAAATATTTGCTCTAATTTTACCGATCTTAAAAGTATAACAAATATAATTATTAAAAAAACAATTGAAGAAATAATGCATCTAAATCCACTGAATACCATCCTTGTTTAAATTAAGTAAGAATGCTTCTAAGTACAGGATAAAAACAGTTCTTAGCCTAAAAACCCATTTGTCCATTATTATGAATAGATTTAGTAATTGTATTGAAAGGTTTGTCCGCGGTAAAGTGTGAAATACTCGGAGAAAGCTTTCACACGGCGCCAACGTAAATTGTACGTGAATTGTCGTCGGCGGTCAAATGCAACCCGGTTTGGCTCACGCCGGGTCAATAAAATTGCCCTGTTGTATGACGCTGTGCTCTACATTTAAACTGGTGAAATATGTTTTGAGGTTAAATAGTGTAAATAATCTTAATGTTGCGCAAATAACAAATAAATGTATTTATCCCACTATATGTAGGTATACAGGATTTCTGTCCTCCAAATTATTATTCGTTTTTTCACGGTATCCATCCATCTCTTTCTAGGTATATCCTTTGTTTTCTACCTCAGTTCCTGATAAGATTAATCTAAAAAATGTGAAGGCTATTATATAATTTTTAATTTCTTTTAATAACAAGCTGTCGCCCGCGACTTCGTCTTAAATTAGTAGCCTATGTGTTCTTCTAGACTATGTTCTACATCTATGCTAAATTTCATCGTGATCCGTTAAGCCATTCTGAAGATACCTTCAAAACAAACATCCATCTATACATTCGCATTTATAATATTAGTAAGGTAACATGAATTAAAAGATTTACTAAATACTTTTTGCTATTTTAAAAGTAAAAAGAAACGTCATAAGAGTTTGCAAGATGTCAAATTATGACAGAATTTGTATTTTTCATGTCTTGTGCATAAATAAATAACGAGGTTTTTAATTTTTTTTTATTTCAACATTTCTCGTGAATTTCACTGATTTTACAACCAAAGAGAAAATTGTAATGTGAAAATGTACTAAATTGATTTTTAGATAGGGTAACATATACAGTAATTTACTTTTCAAGAGTATTCTACAAATTAAGTAAGTACCGTATTGTATTTCATTTATTTATATTATATATTATAGCAGTGACAAGGAAGGATAAAGTTAAAAATGTGTATATTAGAGGAAGTTTGAAAGTAGCGCCAGTGATCGAGAAATTGTGGAGTAAAAGATTAGCGTGGTTTGGACATGTTATGAGGAGGGATGATGATGATATAAGCAAAAAAGTAATGAGATTGAATGTGGATGGCTACAAGCGTAGGGGAAGACCAAAAAAAGTATGGAATGACTGTGTGAAAGAGGATATGCGTAAGAAGGGGGTAGACTCGGATATGACGGCTGATAGAGATGGAGGAGTAGTACATACTGTGCCGACCCTCGATAGGGATAAGGGCAGGTTGATGATGATTTATTATAGCAGTGATGGAATGTACCATAGGTGCGTATATTTAATACTCTATACAAATATCATTTCTTTATGTTTTTCACAATGCCTAGTTTTACTCTATGAAATAGGTTATGCGAAACAGCAAACAGTTATTCATAAAACTAGATGAACTATTGTGAACACACGATTAGGTAATATAACATTTAAATCTTTAAATTATCTTGATATGATGTTAAAATTAGAACATCTTACATGTATTAACAATATTCATCTTTGAATTGACCACAACTTTAAAATCGTAATTACTGTTGTTAAACATATTATGAAATATCATTATTGAGTTACTTTTACTCCACTACTATCTGTCGCCCGCGACTCCGTCCACGTGGATATATAAAAAAACTAAATTAGTGTGGCCCACCCATCCATCCATCCTCATCACATCCATCTAAACGTTCGCATTTATAATATTATTAGTAAGTTACATAAAAAGCAACTCTTCAAGGCATAAATTCGAAAAAAAAAATGAATAAATGGTATCCTATGTCCGTCTCCTGGTTCTAAGTTAACTCCTCGCCAATTCTCAGCTATATCGGTAAAGCCGTTCTTGAGTTATAAATAGTTAATAATTATTAAGATTATCGAATATTTTGGTCCAATTTTTAACTGCAATTAATGGCTATGTTACTTAGGTAACGAATAAAAAAATTGCAGGAATATCTTCATGTTTGTGGCCACAGTGTCTGGTGTATATGGTGGAAGTTATCAAATTATAAGAAAAATTACAAAAGTTAATGTAACTTTTTAACAAAAAAGAGTTGAATTTTTTTAGTATTTTTCCCCGTGTAGTTATCGATCTGACTATACACCATTACCATTTTATCGTTGAATTTTGGGACACCCTGTATATCGAAGATAATAAAATAAAAAAAATGCCATCCCAGATAGATTAACTTTCGTCTATCTATATTGTAACTGCAATATAACTTGCTCGGTTAGAAATAGCTCTCAGTAAAAACTAGATCTATTGGTAGAACGGCTGGGGTAAAGGCGTGCGTGTTCGAGCCTCACATACCACAAAGGTATGAGATAATAGAGCCTAGAATCTTATTGGTCTCAATAAAATATTGCTTTAATATAAGATGAAAAGATAATTGAAAAATTACCAGAGTATGTCTCTGTAGAGAAAGAAAATAAGATTATATGTACATTGAAATGTTTACTTAGCTGAAGCTAAGTTTCGTTTGTTGTTTGTAGTCACGTTATAATGACCACTAAATCCTTAAGATTGGTGGGTAATTCTCTGGGTTAGGTGAGATTGTGACCTCCTGTAGCCTAATCGGTTTAACTGATTTTGATATATATATTATGCGATTCGTATTCTTTCCCGGATTGTCATTAACGTAAAGTCGTGTTAATTAATTCTTTCAGTGGTGAATGGAAAAATGCAAGTTTGGTCCCTGCACGAAATGTGTTCGTAAGGAGGTGAACGTGGAGTTGGAGCGTGAGGCAGGGGTTTTCGAGGCCGGGTCCGGGAGCGGAAGCGCGGGGCCGGCGGCGGAGGTGTGGCGGCGGCAGTGCGGCTGCGTGCGCACCAGCGACAAGCTGCGCCGCATCATCGAGCAGTTCCCCTGCGCGCCGCCTCCCTCCCCCGCTGATAAGGGCACCTCTCAATTCGTAATTCATTTCTTCAGTCAAACTAATTAGTCTCTGAAGTTACTAAGTAAGAACTTTCACAAAGGCACTGTCAAGTGTCCGTATACAAAGTTAACGTTCTTGGTTCGCCGAGATAGCTCACAACATGAAGGGATTGCTGGGGTTCTATGTACGGTTGGGTTTCTTTAAATAGTTTAACACAGTGTAACTGTTACACTTACAATCATTGAATGGTTACGTAATCAGTCTGTTAGTTTAGATTTTACATACTAAACATACACTTTCTCCCTTAGTAGTCATTGAACGATTCTGAAGATGATATATACTTGGTATCCAGTGAACTGTGTCTAACTTAACGACATTCACAATATCATTAGACGAACCAAAGTCTACTACAAAAAGTGTTACCATTAGGTAACAAGTTTAGTTTAACATGAGCTCAACTGACGATTATTGTTTTCAAAGAAACGATTCCAATGCCTGCTATATAAATAATAATTAATTTTTATGGTCGTAGTATACACATGTTTACCAAATTTTAGCATAATACTGGGGCTTGCATCTCCGCGTTCTGTTCCGTGCACCAAAACGCGTTCCCGAACTGCGAACACCGCGCCGATGACTCGATCGAATGTGCCAACATGGTCAAGGATAAAGAAATAGAGCCAGTAAGTTTTACAATAATTTAACAATATATTATGATACTAGGATACACCGTTTTGTTACTACTAAATATGATTGGTAACTGAATATTAAGTTTTTAATGCATCTAATACTATAATAACCAAGGATTAAGGTTGTATAAAAGGACCTCCTTTTGAGTCAAATGATAAGAAATAATGTAATAAAATATTTTAAAGCTTTTTTATTATCAAAAATTTGGTTTACTATCCTGTCTAATGTTTCTTTTCGTAGTTTTCTGACAAGTGAAAAGTAGTCAAGAATTATAATGTCGTGATGTAAGATAGGATCGGAAAGGATCGTGATGCCGCCCGCTAACGTGTTCCCAGAGGACGCGGCGTCTTTCAAAATACAACCTCATTTCGATATTATCTAATCTTCGTAATACTGGCATAAAACCTTGACCTCCGTAGTATGAACATTCTTATATCAATGTCTTTAACCCGAAATACTTTAACTAAAAATGTTTATTGTTATGTACCAAGGTCTTATTTCTTACCCACGTATGCCTCAGTTACTTCCATCTTTTATTTATATTAAGTAATCATAATTTAAATGAACAGGCGCAAATGGCTCAACCCACTGGTTTTTAATTAATAATTTAGAAGAATAAAGTAAAGAAGATATAAGTTAGGAGAAAAGGGGATAACGTACCCATTTTCTGTGCTCCTAAAAGACTGGTTTGTAGAGAAACTAAGGCAAATCTAACCCCCGCTTAAAACTAGGTTTTATGTTGGTTTAATTTAATACTGGTAATATTTATATTATCTTTTAATGCAATTTTGCTTTAATTTTTATATTAATAATTATAATTATTCTACAAACGGATACCGGATATAAAGGCGGATAGTACGAAGGCTTCCGTAATAATCTGATTAAATATAATTTGTTACAATTAGTTTATTATATTAATATCACGATTATAAACGAAATTAGACCTTGTGGAAAGCAGTTAACTCGCCAGTTGTAGCGTTGTAGCTCAATTAACTTTGAGATAAAATCTCTGTGGGTCAAAGCCGAGTATTCTGTTTTCATGTTCCGCGGTCAAATATTCAAGCTTAAACATTAAACTGTAAACGCAACATATTATCACATAATGTACATTAAACAATTGCACTTTCTTTTTAAAAATACGAATGTTAACGATCCTATTCAATTATACTGCAACAAACGTATCTGTTCGATAAAACATGCAAAGATCTTTGTCGGACTGTACTTGATGTTTTGTCATGTTTTATCTTGTGTGTCTATGCATAAGTTGGTAGGTTGGCACTGAAATTATTCGAATGTATCAATTTGCAGGAAAGTTCCCGACCGTTCGGTGTGGTGACTGACATAGTGCAGTTGCTGCAGTTATCGGTGACTGCCACTGCACTCGCCCTCTACTACCTCATCTACTGCTACATGCAGCTCGTATATTATACGCTGCGATCTGCTCTCTACTTTCATAATGCTGATGGGTAAGATAAACAAGGAAGTAAGCAAAGAAGTAAATCGTTTTCATTTTGTGGTGACTATCAACTTATTAGAGAGAACAAAATGATTTGCATCTTTGGTTACGCTGCAAAGGTAAAGTTTGTGGTAACAAATACAAGTCCTTCGGCCTATAAGAGTAGAATGAATAGGCATTTACTAAGATATCTTTCGATCACATCATCACTTAACATAAGGTGGGCTTGTGATCAGGCGATGCCTTATGTAATGTAAAAAAATATTGTAAAATGTTTTACTGAACTTGTGCGTTACGTTTTTACTAATTTTAACCAATTTTAGGTGGGATCTATTTCGTTTTATACTCGTTATCTTTTGGAAGATATTTGACACATTTGCACGTGTATATATAATTTGTATATCACCTGTTTTCATTGTGTGACACAAAGGCCAATGAAGATAACGATCGGCGTGGTGACGCTGACGTCACTTATCGTCGGCTTCAACCTGCTGGTGCGACTCGAGCGGCTCTTCTTCATCTTCAATTGATACGCGAATTGTTTAACATATGAGATAAATTTATAATGTCCTTGATATCTGGTGTTATTTGAAAATAAAACAAATCCATTAGTTTGTTTGTTCTAACGATTTTATTGTTTGTTGTTTGTTTAAGCTAAGCTAATTTTCGTTACTTATCAATCATAATATCTAAAATGTTTTATTTAAAACCAAAGTAACTTATTTGTGTATTTTTTTTCTAAGTAATATAGGGCTAACATTATATTTTTTCTGATCATTTAATATTGATGAATAACTAGAGTCAATATTCTAACCAGCAAAGTTAAAAATGTTAAAACAAGAGTTATTGATGTCGTATACCATTATTTCTATTGGCGTAATTTAGTCTTGAATAGTGGTAAGTGTGTTAAAGTAAACAAAACATGAAGAAAAAAGGCAAATTAGCCGTAACCGTAATTTAGATGAAGTGAAATTGTAGGTACTTTTAAATTGATCTACTTCCAGCGTGATCTCATATAGAATTACTAATTTCAAATTATTACAAGTTCGGAAGTTAATATTTCTATGACTATTAAAATTTACCTATAAAATATATTTCTACAATTCCTTATTGGACTGTAATGTAATTTTTTTTTTTCACATTTATAATATATTGAAGTAAACGGATGAAGGTCTGAGAGGAAATAAAATATTCTGAGGCGAACGTACGAAAACTTTGAAATACCGTCATAGTAAAATACATAAACTACAGAGACATTTGGTTGTAACAATAATCTAAAGTTATTCTATGTTTAATGAAATATTTCGAAGAAAGTTTCTCATTATTATAAAATATTACTAATTACAAACATCAAAGAAGATATGATAGTTGTAAGTATATAAATATTCATTGGACCAAACAAAGAATTTATTTGTACATGAATTTTTTTATCCAACTTAAGTTATGTAGGTACAAAAAAAACATAAAACATCTAATAGTTTCACGTACTAACAATAAAACTGAGACAAAACTAACAACAAATTAAAGGCTTTCACAATTTTTTATTCAGCCGTTGTGTTGAAGTAGCGATCTTTTAGTAAGGCGTTAAAGCCCCATTCGACCATTGATACGGCGTCCGTGAGGGAGGAACAGAGGCTGTTCGAGTCTACTATTACATTGTCGACCGTCAAAGGCGACGCGCGTTTATTCGCGTCTACTAAAATACCTCGTAAAATAATTGACCTTTTAACTAAGTTTATAAATAAAGTGTATCTTAAAATATTAAAGGGGCATTTCCATTGTGTAGTGCATTAAATGACAGTTGTCGGAAGTGTCGTCCAGTGCATCTGTTAGTGAAAAATGGTACTAAATACGAGGTAAGTAGAGTGTGGAAATATTTTTCGTACTTAAAACTAAACGGTTGTATCTTTTTACCTTTCATTTGTTTTTAAAATTTAATTCATAGTAGGTGCAGGAACATATTGAACATACAATTATTTGAACGACAAAAACTAATAGAATGATGTAATATGTCATAATCTAATTATATCTTAGTTTAATTAGTAATCATAATAATTGAATCAAACCTTCAAATGTTACTTCTTACTAATATTATGAATGCAAATATTAAGATGGATGGATATTTGCTACAAAGTATCTCCAGAACAGCTGCATGGATCTCGATTGAATTTGGCATAGACCTAGAGCATAGACTGGCAGAACACATAGGCTACTGATTAAGTTTATTTTTTCTTCCGCGCGGACGCAGTCGCGGGCGATAGATAGTCATAGAAATAAATAGTCATTTTTCGAGATAGTTAAGAAACGAAAAAGTGGATCTTGTGGACCAGTGATTAGTGTCCATATCTGTCACGGAACGGATTCTTAGGTTCAATTCTTAATAATTAACACTTCTTATTTATTTGTCATTGTGGTCAAACGCTTTTTATATAAAACTAGCTGTCGCCATCCGTCCGCGTGGGAATAAAAAAAGGTTACTTGAGGATTTTCCCGGCAATTATTTGAATTTTTCTCACTTTTTAAACCTTCCCTAGATCTCCACGAACATTTCATTACCAAGATAAGATAAATCCGTTCAGCCGTTCTCGAGTTTTAGCGAGACTAATGAACAGTAATTGATTTTTATATATAGTTAATGTTTAAAGTCCATCCTTATTCTTTCTAGGTGTAAATTACTAAAGTTAAATGGTCTGTACTAGTTCTATGACCCCGCTACGCTTCGGTAGAATAAACGCAGTCAATTGTTATTGATCTCTCAACAAATAAAATAGATTTGAATATCGAAGACAACTTTTGTTCTGGTACTTTGTATTTTCTATGGTGATTTATTTGTATGTCAATGGTAAATAACGTAATAAATATATGACCTTGATTAATACAATTTTATAAGTTGTACGGAACCATTTTATACATGATATTGTAATGGTTTAAAGAAGTATTTATTTGTTCTCAAGGCACGAAAAAATATATTTCTTATTATTTTACGAAGGATTCAGAAGTTTATTTTTTGCCTTACAAGCAAAGATTAAGTCGAGAAATATTAAATCTTTGATTTCTTGGATGTAAGGGACGCATGTTTGAAAAATATAAAAAAAAAATTTATAAGTGCTAATTAATTCGCAAAAAATCATAGTAAAATCAACATATCAAAACAGAGAAAGCTATATATTAGTACTGGTTGTCACCCGCGACGCTCGCGCGGAATTAAAAAAATCTGAATAAGAAGTTTATGTGTTCTAAATAAAATGTAAATTAGGCCAAGGCTGTTTTACATCTGTGCCTAATTTAATCAAGATCGGTTCAGCCGTTCTAACAAATATCCATCCATCCATCCATCTTAACTCTCGTGTTTAAAATATTAGTAAGAATTATCAAATTGTTCAAAGTTATTATATTTGCGATATTTCTACAAATGTGGACAAGTTATCTGAATCCAATTTGTTGTATTTATTTTAACATCATAATAAGTCAACACTCGTTCTATTGGTTTTTAAGATACTAGTTTTTCGCTGCATTCAATTCTAATTAAGCCATTCATTAGAGTAAAGATCGCGTCGCCTTCAATCATTTCTTTAGATGTTACCAAAATAGAAACTCAATCATTAGTTTGCCTCATGTAATAATTGCTAATTACTTTTGCCTGAGAATTTTTAAAGCTTATATAGATGCGTTAAAAAAATCGGGAGTGAAATTTCAGAAGCAAAATATGTAGCTATAAAAGTAATATAAACTTCTCTAAACTATCCATTTATTAGTGAATCCTCTGTAGTGAAGAAGAGATCCACTTGGTTGTGTTTTTTACCATGTGCGAAGGATGGTATTTTTGTTATTATGAAAGATGTTGTCTCATTTAACAATATCTCTTAATACGTGTACAGATAATTGGTATTCGGAAAAGGCAACCGTGTATACTTAACTTCATTAAGAGACCAAATCAAATAACAAAGAATTTCCAAGATCATCTTAATCCGTGAGAACGACGCGAATCTCTGCACGTGACCATGTCATTATATAATTGTCGATCGATTTAAAGGTACCTACGTGATTTTTAGACTTTAATTTTAATTACCTGAACTGCTTATGTCGATAATTTTTATAAATCTAGCGGTCGTCCGTTGCTCCGTCCGTGTGAAATTAAAGAAAATATGTGTTCTTCCAAACTATGTTCTGCATCTGTGCCAAATTTTATTAAGATCCGTTGAGTCGTTCCGGAGATACCCAACAAATATCCATGCATCCAAACTTTCGCATTTGTAATATTAGTAAGATTATTTTTGGAAAAGTGTTCGCGAAATGTTATGGGGTCATTTCAATATATTTTTAGGTTATTTCGCGGTACTAGAATTTCTAAAAAGCATTACAAGATAGGGCTGTAAAATAATTGTATACAATTTCATTTTTTCTTCATCTTCATTTTTTTCTTTGGTATAGTATGTTCTTAGATATGCTTAAAAGGCTTCGCAACTATTTATAAAATTGCTCATTTTAATAATAAGATAGATAAAGTTGATAAGAAAAATATTGCGTCAGTTCATGTAATTATTAAAATGAACATCCTTGTTAGTTCCATGCATTAGGAAGTAACATTAAGGTCGGAGACGGAGGGAATGAAGACGCGCCGGATACTGCGAGGCCGCTCTACGAACTGCTTTTTACTCATATCTACAGTTTCATGATGTCTATATGTAGTTAATTTCGAGTCCTGTATATTATCTAAAACATTCCCTATGTTTTTTTTTATTTTAAACTTCTATTATGTTATTAATTTTGTTTTGATTTCTTCAATCTTTATTGTAGGTTTTCAATACTTAAACATCTATTTTTATATGTTTAGTAAATGTTATGTATATGTTTCGGCAGTCGAAACTTAGTATACTTTTGAAAAAAGCTACTGATATTATTAAAAAGAGCTTTTGACACGGACAAACTAAAACCTATAGATGTCACCAAACTTTGTATTATAATAAAAGTAAACAAAACTGTCACGTCTTGTCTGTCATGGGAATAATCTTTATTATCTACCAAAAAAAGTTTTAAGTCATTATTTTTTAGTCTTCTGTTATACTCCAATTACCAATAAAATGCCGTTTGGTAGAATAGACTAATTATGCAGCAATCTTTGCGGCGGAACGATAAACAAAAAAGTGATAACCATAACGATCCGCGGCGCCGGCGCAACCAGTTCCCACGGGACACCCAACTGCAATGTCCCAAGTCTGCTACAGCACCATAGCACTAGGAACATTAAGATTCTTATAACAACTATTTCAGTATGTCTTATCTCTAGTCAATCAGATGAGTGCAAATAATTCTAAACATGGGCCTAGCCTCCTTAAATCAGTGACTAGGGCCGGTACCGATTAGTCAACATCACACATATTATTGAATTTCGTTGAGAGACACAGACACAGAAATGTGCATCATCATCGTCAGCTCACAATACGTCCCCACCGAGGGGCTCGGAGCCTAGGGGTGACTAGGCCATAGTCATCCACGCTGGCCAAGTACGGGTTGGTTGACTTCACAAATATCTTCGAATTTCTTCTCAGATATGTGCAGGATGCATCACGATGTTTTCCTTCACCGTAAAAAGTCGAATAAATGTACATATGTAAATCGGAAATCGAAAAACACATTGGTAAATGGCGGGACTCGAACCCATGACCTGCAAATTACAAGTCAAGTGCTTGACCCTTGAGCCAAAATCCAAAATGAGACAAAATCCACCTACCGTTTTCACAAAATTTCTTTGTTCAATTGACCACATATTTTACGCGGTTGTTCTATAAACACCGAAATGCCGATGAATAGACAAAATAAATGTACTAAGACACAACTTTTTTAAGTGTCGAACAAAGGCAGCGATGCGCAGTGGTCCGCCGGTGGTGCGTCGCGGCGTCGCGTAATCTACGTAGAACAAAAGACTTAAACGGGCGCGCGCTACAATGTCACCGTTAGATATTTTATTGTTAGTTTTTTACGGTACAATTTAGGCGAGTTTTGATATATTTAGAATATCGAAAGTATAAATATGTTATTATTGGTAACTTGATATTTAAGATAAAGACTGCCTGAAAGCGGAAAGTAAAATACTAAGCTGATAATCTTTATCACCATAGTAGTACCTGACTTTAATTATTGTGTACTGCTTAAAGACATAAGATGTTGGTTGGTTTTATATACCATTTCATACATGTGTAAATCATGGTGTGAGTTCAATAATTAAAAGTTTACTTTATATATAAATAGATAGTATAATTATGTACCTCAGTCTAAACTGTTTTAATTCTCTCCTATTTAATCACAAATTATGGTTAAAAAAAGTATTGTTCAACAAATTTAAAATTAATAAACTAAAACATTTTTCTTAAATAAACATTTTACTTGGCGTGAAGTCACTACAGTTTATTCAGTCGCGCTCTGTTTCCTCCGATATCATTCAATGTCATCAAAAAATGTACTGACGACCAAACGTATGCGACAGAAACTCTTTATTTTCTTCTCGTTGTAACGTATTTATCTTTCTCAGAGTTTAAACACACTATTAATTCCGAATTCTTGTAATAACAGAGTCCTAAAACCTAAGCTTTTCATTACAATGATACACTTGCCATCATGAAGTTTTGGAAAGATAGCCTCTACTAAAACTTCATTGTTTTTTAAAATACAATAAAATCCTTCCTTCTCCTTTCCCATTTCCACTGTGATTGCGACTACACTCTTTTCCTTACTTTCGGCATAATTTATTTGGTCAAGTTGAAAGACGACTTGAAGTTTTGAAGTTGAAATCATAATTTCAATGTTATCCTTGTTTTTTTTTTATTTTTATTTTATTTAATAGCAATAGACGAACACCGCAGTTGTTACGAATTGAAAATTACGCGATATCAATCACTGAATTTGCAGATCGACGAGTAACGGATCAATTTATTCCGAACTCGATCACGATTCGATGCCGATTTTAAATTTACCTAAAGATTTGCCAAGATTGTCTAGCTGTAAGTTTACTACAACATTTAATTTTTTAAATATTTTTAAATTGTTTTTAAAATGTTTTTAAAATAATACCAACGTCGTAAAAAAGATATTATGAAAATTGTATAAAATCACCATAACTTGCCAGCCCTTATACCCACACGTAAGGTAAGCGCAACAGTTTTAGTCCTCCAGATCAATCTATCTTCCGACACTTCTGTGTCACCTTTCTTAATGATGTCATCTATCAGCAAATTACAAAAGGTAATTATTTAAAAAAAGAATGCAAATATAACAATATTATAATAGTATCTTTGTATCGATTAGTTCATTTACCTATCGTACCGTAATAATTTGCTAATTTCATTACGATTACTGAATTATCCGTGCAAAGGACACGAAGACTACGACTGCGGTAAAAGTTCATTGACTTCATAATAAAATAGAAAAATTAAATTACAATTTGATTGTATCTAAATTATATGGTTTAAGAATTGAAAAATATTTACCCTGTTTAATAATACATTGAAGTTTTTATTCAATTGAAAGAAATCAAATTTGAAAATTGTAAGTGGTGCTTCTTTGTGTAATAGATAGTTTATCCCCTTGCCTCTACACAAATCATATTAAAATATGGTTTTTTTGCATAGTATTTTCTATATTTATAAAATCAGTAATGATACACAATAGAGGAGAATACAAAATTGAATTAGATTGTATACCAGCTACTGCATATCAAATAAATTTCATTGATTCGATGTTACGTTGTTATTGATTAGATTATTGTTTCTCCAGCTCAATTTCCCGCCCTGTTATTACGACGCCGTGTATTTTGACCTCTCATAGTAGCTCTGATTTCGATTAAATAATACGTTATATAGGGTTCGAAATCACGATTATTTTCTTATAAAACTTTATTGAATATACTTATCTTCATATTATTTTAGTGTGAAAAAAAAATTGAATTTATTTTATGAAATTTTCTCTATATCTGTGTGTACTTTAAACTTGTAACTTTGTTGTTAATATTGAAGTAATTTTGTTACAGATTAATTCTAACCTGCTGCGTGCTTCATTTTATAAGAGTGAGTATATTTTATTTGCCAGTTTTCACTTTATTTTACGAATAAAACATTATTTTATACCCTGGACACTGTTGTAGATTTATCTTGTTATTTTAGTTATTTTTGGAAGTATACGGCATCCCCTTGTCTTTATTACTCTATATGGGGTTGACGCGACAGTTTCTCATCTTAATCAATCTGTCATAGACATCATTCCTTCCTTGATCATGATACCTGTAATGCAATCCATTTGATTCTTTTAGGTATATCCCCTAGCGATATTCGTCTAGGTATTATATATTTTTTTGTGCAACAGCAAATCAATACCTCGCCCTATGCAGAGGGGTCATCGGAGTCATCTGAGGCGTCAACCGAGGTACACCTCGTGTCGGCGTCGGCGGAGCTGCACGAGGGTTCGGGAGATGATCCCTCCGGGATAGCTGTCACCTCGTCAATAAAGGTACAGAATATATAACGAATACTTATTACTCTACGTGCCATCTCATTTATCTATCTCGTGGAAGAACAAAACATGTAACAACTTATTTATTACAGATTTTATGGTAACAATTTACGTATCTAGTTTTTACAAACATGCATAGATCATTGGTTTGCTTATTCAGTATGTTAGATAATAAATGTGTGTATATTTTTACAGAACGAGACGAGAGAAGCTCTTAAATCAGACGGCAGTGAACAAGATCCAGTAAGTTTTTGAATTTATATTAAACTTATATAACATATTATTAAAAGTTGCAATCAAACTTAGTGCGCGGATAAGTCGGTACGCAATAATTGTAATATTTTTGATTCCTAGTATCTTCTGTAAACACAATCAGTTTCTTATTAAAACGTCATATTGCTAGAACAGTAGATGGACATGCATTGTTTATTTCCCTCAAGGTCGTTACATAATACGGACAGTGAAACCCTATGAATCTCTGCAACGGACTGGCCATTAATCATAATGTTAATTGATTTTGATGATAAAAATATTTGTATACTGATTTTGATATTTAGTGTTGAGCCGTTATACATATGTCGATATGTTCATACTGGAAACCCATCACCTTAGATGGAGAAGGTGAACGTTCATTCGCCTCGATTTCTTATGTTTTAAATTATATATATTCCCATGTACAGTCAGCGTCATATATATCGTCACAGACAAGATATGCAAATATATAGGTACACCAAAAGTATTCAATTATATCGGTACAACAAAAGTCCTCAAAATAATAGATACATTCACCATGCTCAAATACATCGGTACATACACAGCGTCAAATATATGAGTACATGCAAGATGCTCATAAATATCGTAGCAGCCACAGCGTCATAAGTAACGAAGCAGTCAAGGTGCGCAAAAATATCGGTACATTTGACAAAATTGAACTCTATCTCTATATACTTGTGATACAATTTGGAATAAACTACTTCTGTTACATTCATTTGACACTTTGTATTAACATTATAGGTTGTCCGGAAAGTTCGTTCTGATTTTCGATATAAAGCTTACAATAGACTGTAGCTGAAGTGGATTCATTTTCGGATTTCCACCATTATCAAACGTCACAAAAATTTCTAAATTTTGAATAATTTCATTTCATTGGTTGAGATAAAAACTAATTTTTAAAATTTTATCCAATAATAAAAGACGTTTTAGGTATAGAGTCGTACCAATATCATTTAAAAACATTTCCAAAAATTTAAGAGAACAGGGTTTCAATTTTCCTTGTAAAGCGGCACGAACTTACTGGGAAACCCAATATTTTTCTTCTCCTGTCATAACGATTAAATATAAAAGTTTGTCACGCCGAATATGACAGATACGTATTAACTAATAAAAAACTTTTGCCTTGTCACAATATATATGATTGGCGCAGTATTCTAGTATGTTTGCCGTAATATGTAAGTTTACCGGTTCGAATCTCAGGCTACTTTTTTTTCATTTTATCAATCACGGGGTTATTTTTTCATAACCAGTAAAAATTTGGTAATGTAAAATTTTGCTCGACAATTTTTTTTTATAATTTCCGCTGTCGGGTAGAAAGAAATTTAAATAAAGTTAACAACAATTAGGTCAGACCATCGCGGGTGAAGTGAGTGGGCGGAGCGTGGATTGTCTTTGCGGGTTTTAAGAATGGTACGCGCGGAAACTATACGTACAAGTGTTATCTACATATGTGTGCGCGCCCACGCACACTGGAATGTTTATTGCAATCGACCAAAAATTTGATGTAGTTTGGATATTGACATTCAGTTTTTTTCCTTTGTTTCTTAAATATAATCAGTATCAGTAAAAGGTAAAAGTAAAAGTGTTATTTTTACCGGTACAAGTTTAACAAACATGAGTAATAAACAAATTACATGCCAATAGCATCGCTTTATCTCCTTCATTTTTGTTTGAAATAGAAAAGTACTTTAACGGTCAAACTCATTAGTCCAAGGCAATATCAAAAAGTACCTAATAACTACGGCGATAGAATTTAATTACATGTGCTTCGATATTAAAATTAAAAAGTTTAAATATCAAAAAAAAATAGTGGCTTGGGATTTGAACCGCCGACCTTACGTACCAACGGCGGCGAACGGTAAAGCCACAAGACCAAACTAGCATATATGATGACAAACTTAAATTTGATGTTGGTCTTATCTACCTAATATCTGTCATCCGCGTCGAACACTTTTAGTGAATTTTGAAAAATGGTTTGATGCAAAGTGTCAAATGAATGTAACAGAAGTAGTTTATTCCAAATTGTATCACAAGTATATAGAGATAGAGTTCAATTTTGTCAAATGTACCGATATTTTTGCGCACCTTGACTGCTTCGTTACTTATGACGCTGTGGCTGCTACGATATTTATGAGCATCTTGCATGTACTCATATATTTGACGCTGTGTATGTACCGATGTATTTGAGCAGGGTGAATGTATCTATTATTTTGAGGACTTTTGTTGTACCGATATAATTGAATACTTTTGGTGTACCTATATATTTGCATATCTTGTCTGTGACGATCTATATGACGCTGACTGTACCATAGATAGAGGTGTTATGTTCTTTTTATAAATGAAAACAAAAATATTCGATACCATGGTGCGTACATTGATTTCTCAACTTGGTTACGGGTAGTGGTCCAAAGAGAGGCCGCAGGGCTGCCGCTGTTTGTGCAATCACACATACAAATACAATAACACCACAGCACAGAGTGAAGGACTCACTATCTAATAGGAATACCCTGATATATATCCGTTCAAGGCTTGGTATTATTTTGTCATTTTTCATTTGATCATAGATTAAACATCAGAGTAAAAAAAAACGCGTATTAACGTTATTTTACAATATCACTTCAATTTTCTCAGATAAATTTTCAAGAAATAACTGAAAAAGTGATAAATTATGTTTATTGAATTTCGGCGTTGAATTGAAACGAGATTTTAACGAAGTTCTTTCCTTGAGTAACAATTAACATACAACTTTAGATGATGAGAATGTAGTGAGACGTTTGTGATAGCATCTGACCTGTCGAGTGCTAACTACTCTGTGATCTAGCTGTGCTCTGACTCACATTGCAGCTAACCATGAACATTGTCTGCCCCACATAAACCTGCGCCCGCGCATCGACGCCCTTCCCATGAAATTGCCATTACATCTACTTTTCAATTAAACTTACAGTTCGTTGATACAACGTACACTTGACAAAATTACAACCTTTTTTTTTTATTCGTTCATCTAGCTTTCAATTTTTTATTTGTGTTACGACTGTTAGGAAAAAAATCCGACACTGTGCCGGTGTATTGGCGGAACACTAGACTTATAAAAATGTGTTTATGTCCCCTCACTAATCAGTCTAACACTTGACTTGGTAACGAAAGCGTTCCATTCCCGCCAAAAGATTCTAACTAATAATGCATGAATGTGCTTAAGATTAAAAATACAAGCAAGGATTCTTACTAATCGCGAGTAAGATAAGTACTTTGTCTAATGAAACCGAGGATGCTATCTGCAGACCGTGTTACCTAGAAAATAGTAAATATGTGCTGTAAATTCTGCATTCTTCAATACTACACTACGCTACTATGTTTTATTGTAAATGAAAAGAAATTCGTTTATGTTAACAAAAATTCATTAACACATTTTAATCCGTATTGTATAGATCCACTGCGGTATAGACGGTAGACGCCAAACAATAAATTGTTGGTCCAATTGGCTAATGCGTGTCGCTAGACAGCAGCGGGCGCGAGTAACGCAGCTGAGGCTGGCTATCCGCGGCGTGCGACCCGTCCGGCATACTTACCGATTAACCATTACTTTTTGTGCAAAACCTCGAAGGGGTCGTGACTGTGAAATGGTGCATTACTCTTGGTAATTCGACAATTTGTTTACTAGAATTTTTCTTTGGATAATAGATGCAATTGTCGTCGCCATTAGCATTTGCGGGGGAAATTTTATTTCGCTTACGTATTTGTATAACGGTTTTACTTTCGAAAACATTTTGGGTCAATGTTGTGACATTAATTTGTGTAAAACGTTTTGTGAGTGATGGTCTGTGGGTTGACGGAAGGATGTCGTTAGGTTAGCTGATGATAATCAAATGCTCTGAACATTGTTTTGAAACGACGTTACGGATGTCGCTGATTTGCAACCTAGCTCATAAAAAACATATTGGTAGAGATATCCGATATATTTAGACTTCATAACATCTCAAACATCACAGTTGACATAAACACTTATGTTTACTTTTATTATAGTTTTAACACTGCTGTGTTTACTCGTACTATGACATTGTAATTATATTATCATTTTGTATTTACTTCAATAAAAAGAAACAACGATGTGTTTTCTTTTATATAAGAGAATGGAGCAAACGAGCGGCGAGAACATCGAAGTGATCAACGTCACCCATAGACATCTGCAACACCAGAGGAACTGCAGATAAATGTGTTCTAATCTCTAATCTAATCCAAGTGGAATTGTACCATAAAACTTCGACTTCGCTATTTAAAGGGGCTGCGCAAATGTTTTAATATTTATAGTATTTATGTTGTAAATTAGGTGGTGTTTGTATCTGAGAAGAACAGCTACATCCCAGTGAGCATCAAGCCGCGCTCGCCGGCCAGCGAAGTGGCGTGGCGCGAGCCGCCAGCCTGGGAGCGAGAATACCGTCGACAACGCACCAATGGAAGCCGAGTGCAGTGTATGTTATATTTCACAATTATTATGTAGCAAGGGTCTCGCAGAAAAAAATGATTCGATTCGATTAAAGAAACTGACTGAATAGCTTATGTATTATCAATTTGGATTTTTAGGAATCTTAGTGTTTTTAAGTAGTTTATATATCTATTTTGAATTCTCTTCAGCTGCCATGTTTGCAAGCGCATTGATTTAACGCGTGTCTCCAGTGTTGAAGAAACGGATTTGATGTTATCAACATAAACGTCTCTGTCCCGTTAGTTGCACAACGCAATGTTAGGAATAAAATAAAAATATAACCAAAGTATTAAAATTAAATTTTAACAAATTATACGTCGCCTTCGTATAATGAAAAAAAATTTAATCCCTTATTAAGTAAGGTACACGCATAATTGGTAACATAAGCGGAAGTTTTTAATGATCGTTATGGAAATAAACGAATTAAACTGAACGTATGTTTGGCAGATATCGAGGCGGAATGTCAGGATGACTTCATGAAGATCAAAGTCGGTTTCAACGGATCCTTTAACGGACTTGTTTATTCAGCAGGTAATTATATCTTTACTATATAATTTACTTCTAATTTTAACTGTGATATAGTCAGTAAAAACATCTGCGGCACGAATTGGCCGGCTCGCACAGCACCACATAGCAGAAAGACGCCTAGTGGAAGAAATCTATGTTTTTACTGATGAGTGTGGTGCCGGATGCCTAATTTTAGTCTTTCCTTTTCCACACTTTTCTTATGAGTAAATGATGTGAAATGCAGGTGACAGCTTCCTCGTTAGCCACCGTATAATATAAAAGAAATCCAAAAAGAAAACATATTTAACATCAGAATTGAATACTAAGGTATTTAACGACTTGAAAATGGCGGTAATGGAGATATTTTAGACATTTTTGATATAAATAACCTATATTAAAGTAAATAAAAAGCTTTTATTTCAAAAGTTTCAAGTATAATTAAACATACGGTAGAGAGATGTCCAACTTTTAAGTCATTGTTGTGAACATCACACAACAAAGCAATCTATTGTAATAAATTAGAAAAGAGCCGGTGTGAAAGGTTATATTATAATTGCTGCACTGCCACGCCTCCTTCCGTTAACGGCGTGAATTAGCACTACAGTACTCTGCAACAGTTAGAAAGATTGACGTTGTGTTAACGCATTGGGGAACTGGGTAAATTACTTAATAATGTACATTCAACATAGTAGCACTTCGAAATCTGTGATTCAGTGCACTCGACTTACAACCTTAACATCTTAATTTAGTAGCTCAAATTGGCACATCGGGCGGAATAGTATTGTTATTCCTGACGTGCCTGTACTATGATTATGTTAGTTTTATTTGGGTTTGTATGTTTTTATTAGAGTTCCTTCGTGAAGTAAATCCTTCTTACAAGAGACACCTGCGCCTGATATCAGCGTTTTGCAAACAATACGATTGTTATCGTTTGCAGATAACATTACGTCTCACCGTGAGACTAATATTGTAATTGTATGGAACGTTATTTATTACGTAATTACTAATTGAAATTTATTATATTTGATATCTGTTGAGACAATGTTGAATGTTTTTATTGTTTTGTAATCTTTAGACATCGCTTTTGACTAATTGTTAGTAATTATACACTGGTATTTAACTATATTGGTAATAATTTTGATTATTTTTTATTTTCTTATTCTTACATAAAAATGTTACCTTTTTTTAATTTTAAATAATTAAGATCTTAATAACTTTTAACCATAAATGAAATTGGGAAGCGAATTTATGTTTTTTTTAATAGTTTAATTTTTTATCTATTAGACGACAAATTTAAAGAGGGTAGTAGAATATTTTACTTTACAAGAGTAATAGTCATTATTGTTTCCACAGGATATTCCTACGACCCGGACTGTATGTATATCAATGGTTCAGGACGAGAATACTACGAGTTTTTTATACAACTCAATCGTTGCGGCACTCTCGGGAGAAACGGTCAACACGAAGACACTAAGAAACATCCCACTGTAAGTTCATTCATATGTTGTTAATAAAAATAGGTACTTGTAGAGGAATTTAATCGTTTTCAGTGTCACATAAGTATTTGTCAAACAAGTTTAGCTTTTAATAAATGAACTAAACCATTTCGTTAATGTTTTCCTAGACAATTGACTAATCTATCGATGATTTTCTTTGTTACATTGCTTTTAAATTTTGACCAGCTTAGGAATAATCTATACGTACTTGGATTTTGTCTGGATGTTGTCTGGAAGTCTAAAGAGGTGGTTACTAAGCGATAAAAAGCTATTATTAATTTAAATAAAAAATAATGATAGGACGGTTAATATATGATTAATCTTACTACAGAAGAACCTGATGTGGAATACAATCACAGTGCAATACAATCCATTGATAGAGGAGGATCTGGACGAGCACTTCAAGGTCACCTGCGAGTACGGATACGATTTCTGGAAGACTGTCACATTCCCATTTCTAGAAGTAGAGTAAGTGATAAGAAATCTGTTCATTTACTGTTATACTAACAAGCTAAACTTTTAATAGGGTGAATAAGTCAGGAGAGGCTATGGCCCTGGTTCATCTGCGTTGAATTAAAAAAAAACTTAATTAGCCTATTAGCTAATTTGATTAGTAATTGCCAAATTTCATAAAGATGTATTAGAGTAATTTGCAAACAAACATACGCATTTATTATATTAGTAAGTTGATCATAATATTTGCGTAGGGTGGCGACTGGCAATCCGGTTGTGTTCACGCTGCAGCCTCCGGAGTGCTACATGGAGATCCGTGGAGGGTACAGCGCGACCGGCGCGCGCATTGCCGGCCCTGTACGAGTCGGTGACCCTCTGACCCTACTCATATACATGCGCAGTTCATACGGTATGTAACACAATCAAGCAGCCGAACACTATATACCTTTAGATCTTTCTGTAGATTATTTAATTACTTCATATAGGAGGAAGTGTAGCTACACCATTCCAGTCGATGGTATTAATACTCTTGTTATAAAATTTTAAGGAAGAATGCGTTTCTTTTTGGAATAGTCACCTAATTTCAAATTTCCTGTAAAATGTTCTCTGTCTTTCTATATGAACTTTTGAACCTGGTTCTAATAGTATAAATTCACAAAACTGTTCACAATTTTGGATACAGTTTAGTCGCCCATAAAAGCCGTAGAAGAGCAATATTAGTTTGACCGTAACGCAAGGGCGGTGTAACGGAGTCTCAAGTTGCGTGACTTGGTGCAATGTGATGCCAAATACTTTCAGGTTCATTGATCTTTTAGTTTTAGACAAAAGTCGATGACTCAAAATGTGGGTCAGTAAATTTCTTGACGGTTATTATATTAATTATACGATAAACTATACAGCCTTTTATACACGTAGCTATTAAACACTGAGATATGAAGTCGAATTTCGAAATTTTTTTATTCTTTCTTTTGTCGCCTGCTGCCTTTTGCCTATCAATATGTTTTATTGTTCGATGTTATAATATATCTGTAAATAAATAAATTTCTGGTGAAATCTTATGATTTTCATGGTAAACTTTATTTCCACCTAGAATGTTTTGTTGGATGTACATTAACCTGATGAAATTATCGCAATAGACGTAAAATTATTACATATTTGAATATGAGACATATAATTGGTTAATTTTGGTTTTCAGACGGATTTGATATTGTAGTGAACGATTGCTTCGCTCATAACGGCGCTGGCAAACGGATACAGCTGATAGACGAATCAGGGTGAGTCTTCTTCAGTCAATCTTAATTGATATTGATAATAAGTTTGATAATATTTGGTCTTCTTGTGATTTTAATTGAAGTATTTTCCTGAAATTCCCTAAAATTTAATTGCCAAAAATAGGAGCAAATGACTTCAATTTTGCTGTTTATATAACCGAATTGGTTAGGATTCGAAAACAATTAACAATACAGTACCAAGAATATAAAACATTATTAATTCTAGAACTGTTATTCTTGTTCTATTTTCTATCATTTTATTTTTTGTGCAAAAATGACATTATCACAGAACAGATCGCGACAAAAACGCAACGTAACGTGGTAATGAATATTTACAATGCTTACATTGTACCTTGTGAATTTCTACTTTATTCAACAATAGACAGCTGATAAGATTTACACCTGGGACTTTAGTTTTCTAACCGTTACCTTGAAGCGTTGTTTATAACTGTTGCTTTACGGAGGTGTTATTATGTCAGTTGTGTGACCTTTTTTGTCCTGGATATAACCTACAATGTTTAATACACTACTTTAATTCACGGCTAAACTTATTCACACTTACTTTACATTTAAACGTTATTGTGGTATAGAGGCTACAGGTAAATTTAATCCTTATTTTAAGTTGTAAAAATCTTACTAAGCTTTGATTTTGTGATTGCATTAATTTATTAACGACATGAAAAATGTACCTAACCGTCGGTTTCAATTTTCAAAATCCCCGTTTAAAATATATTGTCATCTCTGTTTTGATATAGGACGAAAGAAAAATGTACCTATGTATTTTTATAATCATGTCGAAGTTGGGTTGGTCTGCTATTTTAAAGCGGTAGAACTAACTTTGTGCGTACGTTTGTTTGCCAGATGTCCAGTTGAAGAGAAGCTAATTTCTCGTTTCCGTGGCTCATGGTCTGAGTCTGGTGTATACGAGACGCAGGTGTACGCCTACATGAAGACATTCCGCTTTACCGGCTCACCAGCTCTCTACATCGAATGTGACGTCAGAATGTGCCACGGACGGTGTCCAGTGAGTAACAGTTTACCTAACCGTGGGTTTCTGAAGGCAAAATCTCTGTTAAAATATAGTATTATCTGAGTTTCGTTAAAGGAAATGAAACGGATTTTTTATACAGAGATTTTGGTCTCAAAAACCCGCGGTTAGTTACATTTCATAAGGCCCAAATCAGTCTATCCATATACCTGCTTTTCTTGTGTTTATGTTGTTTAACATTAGTTTGTATTGCATAATATTTAACCATCAAACATTTTATCATTTGTTTCAGCTACTCTCTTTGTTTTTTTTGTTTTGTTTGTTAGAGATTTTTAGTCATTTTTTTCTCGATATTTTGTCACATTTGACATCACAAGTACAACAAACTTTCCAACCGTTGTCAATTTAATAATATCATATACTTTTCTATACAATTTCAACTTCATACTTCCCATTTACTAACATTCATTTCACCCATGTCTAGTCGCAACCGTGCCATTGGCGTAACATGAAGAGTGTACGCCGGCGTTCGGTCGCAGGACGAGAAGAGGTTGCGGGGGTTGAAGGGCGAGAGGGGACGGCACCGCGGCTGTCGGAAAATATCTCCCTTTTCCAGTCATTGCGAGTCCTGCAGGAGGACGAGGAAGATGCTGAAATGGCTCCCAGCACAGGTATTAATAGAATTTAGTGAACGAATATTAATTTTGCCAGTCATTGCAAATTTAACTTTAGGAGTTTCATAATTATGTATTAAAATTTGAATTTAATATGTCCTACGACAATTTTACCTCAAACTAAATTTTGTACAGTCAAAACGTTTATTTCTTAAAATTACGGATTCTTTATGTTATTACTAAGGTTAAACCACAGTTATTGCCCTATAAACAAAACATCATCACTATCAGCTCACTATAAGTCCCCACTTAGGTGTTCGGAGCCTACCCTAAGTTAGGGGTGACTAGGCCATAGTCAACAAATATTATGTCCTTAGTATGTCATTATTAGAAGTTTTGACTGAGGTTATGTAATTTGCAGCATCCACCGATGGTCAGACCTGCATCAGATCGTCAGCGCTGTCCGCGTTGGTGGCGACGTGCGGTGCGCTAGTTGCCGCGCTGTGCGGTGCCCTGCTCGTGCTAGCGCGCGGCCGTCGGCACGCCACGCATACTGAACCCGCCCACGCGTACGTACCGCACAAGGGACGGATTAAATAGAAATATGGATTGTGATATTATGTGATTTAATGACTATTATTACCGCAAACATAGTACAGGAGCTATGATGCAAAAAATGGTACCATATATCAGCGAATTACAGTCTGATATAACTTTTAACCTCCTCCACTAAATGAATGCAAGGGCGTCGTAGAAATCTTGTCTATGGGTATAGTGTAAACCAGCACTGCTTATGCATTATCTTAGAATAAGATACTATATAACGGACTCCGAATGGTTCGTTTACCTTTTTATTTAAGTTTTAATTTTAGTAGACAAACTGACACATTCATGAGTCGATATGCGTGGTCACTAAGGGTACTCATTAGATTTAGTATGACACTAATGGTTGCTTAAGTTACTCAGAATGTGCGCGTATTATTTGTGGATAAAGATAATTTAAATATTTCCCGCCATAAAATATTTTTGGTTCATTATATTTTTATTTAAATACTTTTTGTCTTGGTCTGAATCAAATTAGAGAAAAAAAAATGTTGACTGATTTTTTTCTTCTTTCAGTTTGAGTTTGATATTTACTTTTATTGCTGCTTCGTATATTACTCAGACAATGTGTTATACATAGATGTATTTAAATCATTTTATTATTTTAAATAAATTTACCTTACAAAAGATCTGTAAAGATGAATAAAAATAATTATAATCCATAGAAATATTTTATAATTACGGATATGACCATTTTAAACATGTTATATTTTACGTCGATGTACATAACAATTATAATAATTAAATTGAGAATCATAATGAAATTAAGTACATATTGACGAATAGAGAGGATTTATATTTAAAGTTTAAAAATATACCTCCTCCTATTCGCTTTTAAATGTTATTTGTGATGTGATAAGATACTGTGTAGTTAAGTAGTTTTTTTTACTAACTAATACTCCGATAAGAAAGTAAAAATACGTATTTTACAAATAGTTTTTTTTAAACGATTCCATACGTTTTTTACGAACTTCTTTAAACAAATTATTTTTTTGTTGAAGATTTTATAACAGTTTTTTCCAGAAATTGGTCAGCAAAAGTTGACATGACAGCTATATTATTAACATTGTATTTCAAAGTAAACGAGAAAAATTGGGAAATTCTGATATGAAATTAAAAATAAGATAAACTTTATCGTATCTCTAAGTTAATTTTATTTATTCTCTTTATTTTTAATTATATTGTAAATAGTAATTTTAAGATTTTATAGAATAATTTTGTATTCTTAATAAAAAATGTAATACATTGGTAATAAAGTGATTGAAATCGAAAGAAACATATGGACTTTATTTTATAATTTTTCATATATATTTATATATTTTAATTACCTTCCCACATCCATTTTTATTGTTATAAAATATATTAAAAATTTAGTCGAATTCAATATAAATGAGAAATTTTATTTAAACAATTCAATGTCTGAATGTGTCTATTGAATAATTCTAGTACAAAAATCTGCTTTTACAGCTTTATAAAGGTAAAACTATTTAATAGGGTCGTTATAATTCTCATTTCTTTTGAATTTGACTACAATAAAGCTTTTAAGGTTCTTCAAATTATCACATATTGTCATCCCTTACACACTCTTTGAAAGAAAGAGACAACAATATGTCTATACGAATTCTATTAAACATACTGTTGTTAAAATACTATCAACATATATGAAGTTATTACAAAGATTAAAAGGAATTAAAAATAAAAAAAAATTACGAAACAACAACATATATTAAACTTACACACACAATACAAATATAAATAAAAAAAAAACTTATAACAAAGTAAAAAAAAATATCGCATAATTCGTTGAATCGATTTTACAATAACTTATTTATTAAAAATTAAGATATTCAAAGATATTTTTTTGTATAAACTTGTATAAAATAAATAATTTGTTCATTATTACGTCAAAAGGTACGTTGATATTGTATTCATTTGGCGGACATTTTTTCTAGAATGTTTTCCAGGTACTTTATGGCACCGTCCAATATTTGTACTTCGCATTGCTTCAACAATTTTATGTTCCTCCTGGAATTTAATTCACATTTCAAATAAATTGACAAATTAACAATTTAAGGCAATAGGGGGCGCTGTCATCGTGTTACAGAATTTACACTAAAAACTAGGTAAAATCATTAGAGGAAAAACGTAGAAGTTCTTCATTTATTAGGCATATAGAATATCATAAAAATTGAAAAAGTATAGTGTGCCAGGTTTATTTGACCCGGTAAGCAAAAATGAAACGAGTATATCTAAATAAATAAAAATCCACAAATTTGCCTTTGAATAGAAAATATCTATTAGGTATAGAAGCTTCAATATATTTTGTGAACAAAACTAGCCTCTGTCATCGGGCCAGATAAGTTCGTCATATTAAATGGCACGTACGGACTGAAAAAAATATTTACCTGTGAGGTGTATCAGGGGCAGTTTCTTCAGGATCCTTCTTGTAGGAGGCTCGTATGAGCTTGCACCTCGTCAACAAGTAGGTGTAGGAGCGCTTCTCTAAGTCAGCGCCCACCGCCTCAGAACTGGTCGGGTCTGATGACACCAGGTCACCCGGGAGACCGTCATTTGACCATTTTGATAATTCCTCTGAAAAGTTTCACAAGCATATTCTCATTCTGTTTGTAAAAAAAAATATCTATACTAATTACTAGTTGTTGTCCGCGACTCCGTCCGCGCGGGATGAAAAATATATTTTTTTTTTATAAAATCGATCAAGCCCTTTCGGAGAATTATGGTAAGTAACATTGTGACACGAGAATTTTATATATGAGATAAGAAAGAGGTAAGATTTGCTTATTTGTATTGAAAAGGCTCCGAAACTAGTGAACCAATTTGAAAAAGTGTTTTTAATCCCGTGAGGACGAAGTCGTGGGCAACTACTAGTAGAGTAACTGTTGCACAACGTTAGATTCAAGGTGAGTTGAGGAATTTATGAATAAGAATGTACAAATACTCTTGTACTAATTGAATTGGCATTTATTTCTAGTGTTCTTGAAACGAATATGCTATTGTATACTTCACTAGGAACGGAATTAGTCGTTTTTTTTAATCTTACAATTCACTTATATGCGAATGTTTGGAAGGATGTATTGTTTAAGGTATCTCCAGAATTGCTGCATGGATCTCGCTGCAATTGGGCACAGATGTAGAACATAGTCTAGCAGAATACATAGGCTACTTGTTAAGTTTTTTTATAATTCAGTAGACAGCTAGTTTTAACATAAAAAAATACTTACAATAATAAATTCGCAATTCATTTAAATATCTCAAGGATCGATAAGATTTAAGTTAATCGATGTATTCGACTTACCTTGGTTCATATTAAATATTCGTATAAATGCAAGCAGTTCCGCGCTAACAGGCGAGTCTCCGGAGTACAGATGGAAGTACGTGAGGCGAGCGAGGCCGAGCTTGGTGAGCAGCGCGAGCCGCGTGTCCCGCGCCGCGTCGCCCGAGCTGATGCCCAGCGCGAGCGACAGAGAATCGCTCGGGTTATCCGGGTACACGAAACTGGAAAGGAAACAATATATTTTTCAAGAAATATAAATTAAAAATACAATTTTTATTCATTAAGTTATTATTTTTTGTAAGACCTGTAGGATTTACAATCTTACTAATATTATAATGCAAATTTTACATGAATAGATGGATAGATGTTTGTTTGAAGATATCTCCAGAACGGCTGATCTGATATCGATGAAATTTAGCATATATATAGAAGATTGTCTGGAAGAGCACACAGGCTACTAATGACGTTTTTTTTTTAATTCCGCGCGGACGAACTCCCGGACGACCGCTATAAAATTTATCAACGATGTACAGTTACAAAAATTATACGCTTCAGAATTAACTCCTAAACTGTACACAAATACGAAAAATATAAAATTAATTAAAATATTAAAATTATATTGGCGTTTCTTTTAACATAGATTCAAACAAAATCCACAATTTAAATTACCATTTGAATTCACAAGTTGATATGATATCTTAATTCGTATTCTTACAACGAATAATTGCATAAGTAAATGCAATAAGCAAAGTGTGTCTTATTACATCGTTATTGCAACTGAATAATGACAAACATGTTTATTTGAACTAACAATAGACTTATTCAATAGAACAATTTTACAATTGTTTATTTATAGATAGATTGACATATTTTCAAAATAAATTTATGGTTTTTAAACCCTTTAATAACAACAATAATATTATGATCGCTGAATAGTGTTTATTTGTTAGGGTATCTAAATATAAACATAATAAATATAAAGGTTAAATATGATTCATGTAAGGTATTTTGCTAGGATATAAGGAGCGTCGGTGGCTCAGGAGTCAAGCACTTGACTTGCAATCTGCAGGTCCTGGATTCAAATCCCGCCATGTACCAATGTGTTTTTCTGTTTCCGATTTACATATGTACATTTATCCGACGTTCTTACGATGAAGGAAAACATCGTGATGCAATCTGCACATATCTGAGAAGAAATTCAGAGATATGTGTGAAGTCAACGCTGGCCAAATACGGGTTGTATTTGGCCAGCGTGGTTGACTATGGCCTAGTCACACCTAACTTAGGGTATGCTCCGAGCCCCACGGTGGAGATGTATAGTGAGCTGATGATGATGATTTTGCTAGGATATTTTTGTTCTTTTGTTTATTGGATAATTTTAGAACACCTTTTATAAGAGTTTCAACAACCTAGTATTAGTCGTCAGGATGACAGTCATTAGGAATTGAACTTATAGCTACAAAGTTAGACCTAAATATGTATGGGTTGTATGAAAAATATGGTAATGATGAGATGGAGTTGTATGGAAGATTATTACTGTGCCGACTCTCTTTAGGTAAAAGGGCAGGTTGCCAGTATTTTTATTTTACTTTTAGAAAATATACCTCGAAAAAAAATCTTACTAATATTATAAATGCGAATGTTTGGATGTTTGTTTAAAGGTATCTCCAGAACGGCTGAACAGATCTCGATAAAATCTGACATACAAATAGAATATAGTCTGGAAGAACACATAGGCTACTAATTATGTTTTTTTTT